AGGTAAGCATTTGGAGTCCCCATAAAGCTATTTTTGGAGAGAAGTCACGCGGACACCAAGAGGACCGACACCAAGAGGGCCGGGCACAGCAAGAAATTTTCGCGAAATAGTGAATTAATTCGGCACATGTACATTTGTAGGACATTTGGCCGCAAATTTTGCGACACCTTCATAATACAGGGTGGTCCAGAAGTATAACATTCCATAACTCTCGTACTTCGTTTTTTAAAATGTTGTTTATTACAAAAAAGGGTGTTGCACACCACTTATTCGTTTTCACTAGATTGTCATCATAAAGTAAGAACGCTTTATTTTAAATGTGTCTAGGAACTTCAAAGTTTCTAGACACATTTGGTTTGATAATTAAAGTGCTTTCCCAAATTTTCAAGTTGATTGTTTATACTTTTTTTCGCATTTACACATTTGCTCACATCACTCACAGTCAGCCGCTCTGACATGGTTAAGCATGTGAGCGGGATAACATTACTTCATTTCATTTCAATTTTGCCGAGTTTCGACTGCATATTGTAAGATCTGCCGGATACGTGATCCCGGCACTAAATCAGTGATCTCTCACTCAATCAATGGCCTGATTAATAAAACAAAAGTGTAATTTTCAGGAAGGTCAATATCAGTATTAACTCAAAGTGATCAGGTTGTCATCTCAGCTCCCCAACATGCTTGGTACCGCCTTATGAGGCTCATTGTTGCACGCTAGGCCGCTAGCGAATAGCTCTAAGTCTAGATGGGTGACCGACAACTGAACCCAATTGAACCTAGTTCCCACGCAGTTAACAGGCACCCAATCAGCTTAATTGGGTGACCAATCAGCTTAAATCCCAAAACGACAACTGAACCCGACAACTGAACCCAGGTCATATGTCCGAAATCGGATATACGACAACTCACAACTGAACCCAACGATCGGATTTTCAGGTTCTCCTTCTTCGCAGGGGATTATCACTATAGGATAAATCATGACCACTGTAATTTAGAGCATTGGAGCCCTGTGCTAAGCTGTGCTTACCCCGGTAAAATATTAATAAGTGGAGAAAAACGTTAAACTTCGTTTTCTCCGCATTTGGTGAATCGTTTTGTTGCTTGTATGAAGGCGATAATCCTTGGTAGTGAGAACTTATCCACTATATCTGTCACACTAAGGTAGAAGGAGTCAGTATCCTCCTCGTTGGTAAGACCACTTCGGGCACTGGCCAATAAAGTGGTTCATTGTCTCCTCTTCCATGTCTCCATACTCGTTTGAAATGAGTGTTGGGCAACGTTCTCCATCTTTTCCTCATTGTCAGAGCCTTTTTCGGTGAGAGAGTCTGCATTTTCGTTACCTGTCAGGTAACTTGGCTCAGATTACTTGGCTCAGGTTACTTGTCTCAGATCTCGTGGCTGCTGATGCTTTGGGAGGGCCTGCCATGGTTCAGATCTCGAGGAGCAGTGAATCGTATCCTTTTTAGCACGCTCCGTGAACACGTAAGCTTGTTATATCAGATCTCGCGATCGAAAGGCATATGCGACCTTGTCATCTATTAGTACGCTTGTTATACAGATGAAGAGATCGGATCAATACATATCACTGATTGATAGTGACGAAATCACTGATTAAGTACCGAGATCACGTATCCGCCAGATCTTAAAATGATCATAACTCGGCTCTGATCAAAGCTTTCGTTGGAAATAGAAATTTCAGTGCCTCAATCTTGTATTGTGCCATCCTCAGTGACCCTGCTACATGATCATTCAAGAAAAATTCAGTCAAAAGAGTGAAATTTGGGTCGTGGAAAGCTGAAATCTGAAAATGTCGTACTGGTAGGACATTTTCAAAATTTTCATTCCGTCAAAGTTTTCTCCTGATATAATTATACCTACTGGTTCCAATACCTTGAGGGCGACTTGTGTGACTCTCGCCGACCTCACTGATAGGTCACTGGTCAAAAAGCCCCATTACATTTCCCAACCAGAATCCATATATATAGGTTATCTATAGGTTTCTCAAATCAACGACTTTAAATACTTCCTTAATAATATATTGGCGATATAACTGCTCGCTATAGACATGTAATTATGCAGTACTTCAATTTATCCGATAAATACTGTTTGTCACGCATCTCGATTCTACTAAACGTTTTCTCCCAATTAATTACATCAATATTATTCACCTACCCGCATACAATCCGCGAGCGTTATTTGCGGGTAGTTATAATATTAAGTTCAATTTATAACTTCATATGCAATTATGATGCGCTTCGGGTTCAACTGGATAAGTGGTAACTTTCGTCACTGCTTCACTAGTCACGTACAAATAAAATGGGAATTGTGATTAATATAATAATACTGATACTGTCTGGTGGCATTTTACTGGCTCATTTTGGAAGGTTTTACGTCAACAATTGGGTAACAAATTCTTTTCTTGAAATGTCTGGTTTTTAGTTTGACGTTGCAGCAGGGGGGGGGGGGGGGGGGGGCAATGGCATAAAATAGCATAAATGAAATTACCCAACCAGAGACGATATTTCCAAGCAGCCAGCAGGATATAGTTTCCGGTTACTGTCTAAGCTGTTAGGTTTTTCGTTCCGAAGAATAACTTGAGATGGCCCAGATGGACTTGTTCTTGAGTTTTTTTGCATTCTTCCGAAATATATGATCTAACCAAGCCTCACCTCCTAAAGTTGGCGAGCGTGCTAAATCACTGTACACTCAAAGTCAAATTTCGAGACTTTTCTAACGTGAATTTTGAACGCTGATTCCGAATCACCCCACATGACATAGGGTTAAAATGCTCCCCTGGCGAGAAATCGGCGAAAAACTTTCTCGATCACATGACATGAACATTGACCATTATTATATATATATTTCGTCGGACGGGTGGTGTAGTGGTATTTCACTCGCCTCCCAAGCGGAAGACCGGGGTTCAAACCCCGTCTGAGGCAGGCAGGCCAGGTCACCAAGCTGTGATTGGTACAGGATTTATCTTGGTAATTATGCTCGGAGGATATCAGTGACGCGATTCCCACTACAGTGTAAGCTGCAGTGTAGCTGTAATAGTCTACCGCCAATCGGAATGAGTGTGAACTTGCTTACCAGGCAATCATGATTTCCGCTTGGTACTCATCAGGTCTCTAAGAAAGCCAACAGTGTGCTGATATGCACTGTCATATGTACTTCCTAGAAGCAGCACACGGCCCATTTCGGACTTGCACGAGTTATAATTATTTTTTATTTTATTTATTATATATACAGGGTGTCCCAAATTATGGGCTAAAGAGGAAAAAACTTTTTGTCATGAATTTGATTTCAAACTGTTCCCTTTTGTCTCATTTAACTCCTGAACACCTCAGTTGATGCTAAAAGTCCCAAGAGGTGCTCACAAATGGTCATTTTCCCAGCAGACCTGAAACCCAAAAATGGACGATAGGCCGAATTTGCATAAATTATGCAATTTTTTAATGCAAAAGTCGTTGATTTTCTAGCTTTAATGGTCCCACATGTTCCTTGGAAAGTGTACTGACAGAGTAAGGTAGCCAAAATTTAAAATAATATGAAAATAGGGCAAAATTACGCCGTTGAAGGCAAAAAAGGGTGTGGCCCGAAAATGCTCCCAAAACATGCTGGACCATATCAAAAACCTCCATTTCAGTTCTCATTGTGAAGAAGACTTTCCATTGTGTCTGTAATATATATGCCTGGTTTACAACTTGGGGCAGTCTAAACGTTTCAAATCTAGGATTTCATCATGGACGAAAACTATCACCTATTCTGGGATCACACCAAGATTTCTTCGCATATCTTTAACATCGATAAAATGTTGCCCATCTAGTTCATATGAGACTCCCAATGGTCCTAAACAAATCTCCTTACCCTTTAGATAATCATACTAAGAGATCAGAACTAATGAGTTAAAACTGAGAAAATTAGGAGGGTTTCTTATTACGTAGTCTTTTTTTGGGACACCCTGTATAAGGAAGTTAGTCTAATTTCTCGTACGGGTAAGAGTTTTAGCATATGCTCTACCTCTAGTTAGAGCATATGGATAAGACTCCATGCTTGGAAATGGGAACATTGGGACGATAAACAGTTTCTCGAGATAGCCAGTGTGTACTGTGTATGAATGATACGTTGGTGCCGTGATAGTAATCGGCTGGTTATTAACCATTAATTGATTAATTAATCGCATTGCTATTACATCATAAGTAGACTCATTACTTGATTGGCTTGTACAAGCTACCACTCTACCATGATAGTTAGTTTCATCAACAAATATTGTCCCGTTATGATTTGGTCAGTATAGCTTGAAATTAGTTCATTTTGTATAAATTCAATTAAAGTTTCGTTCTTTGTGAAATCATAGGTTGATGTGCCGACGCGTTTCGATTAGGATATCAATCTGGAAAAATATTAAATATTATAGTAATTAAATGAAGTATTGACCGTCCACGTGTGTTTATTTTAGATTTGCCTCGATGTGAAACATTCATCACAACTCAAATATTGATACGTAATACGCCTTTATCAGATATACAAAGTTCATTTGCTGACACATCATCTCTACCACTGTAGAAACTAAAACCAGATCTTCGCGATTTTCCCGAGGTTCTTAAAGGGGATCATCTTGACGGAAACTTTCGCGAATTTTAAAGATTCGATGGAGTACTGAGTCCCAATTAAACATATTTAATGGTTTTACAGTACTCTGTTCTCAAGACTATCTGTAAGTAATGATAACAGATAACCAGATCTAAGAAGCATCTAGTATATTATAGGATAATAAAATAGTAATAATGGAAGTAGACGAGGACGCTGAGTTGCTGCTTTCTTTCTCTCGGTGTACCACAAGTGACAAAGAATCCCTGGTTCATCAGTTTCTGAGGGTGAGTTTTCTGATTGACAGTAAATTAAGTTCATTCATTTTCACTCTCAACTGGAGTGTCACAATTCACATCCTCAATAAGAAGATATGAGAACACAAATAATTTCATGCAACTCAGGTGATTGGAAGTGGGCGTCTGGTAAGTGTGAGAGAAGCTGAGTTTTACCTTGAAATGACAGGCTGGGACATACAGGAGGCTCTGTCTTCCTACACAGAGGTTAACAGGGAAGGGAACAAGCTCTTGGCCATGAGTTTTGTTAAGGTGAGAACTTACTAGATTTGGTGCAACAAATAAATATAAATTAATTTGTGATGCCTGATCATGATTCATGATAGCCATGTTATAGTTATACATAATACTTATTAATTATATTATTATATATTATTAAACATAATACTATAATATGTTCTAATATTATCTAGCTGGTATGAATTAATTTATGATGTCTGGTTTGCCACTTCCTCGTAATACTAATATTCACGATTACTCACTATTCCTTATCAGGACATGACATTTGGTGAGGGTGAAAGTGTCCCTCCGAACTCAACTTTTACCAAAGTGTGGAGGATACGGAACAGTGGCCGTGAGACCTGGCCTTCTGGGTGTACCCTCAGATGTACTGATGGACACCGCTTCAACCCCCATACTGAGGTAGATATTAAGCTCTTATTTTCACTCTGTATATTCAATATTGATCTTATAGTACAGCTGTATCATATTTACTGGGCCGCGCTCAGCCTGTCATTCCGCCTAATCTCTATTCGGTTTGTAAACATGATAGCCTGAGGTCCCCAGGTAATATCATATTTGTAACCTTAATAAATTGTATTTATTTGTGAGTCACGCTCTTCACTGATTAACTGTTGTCTCTAACAACATCTACCTCAGGTCTCACTACTCACTAGATCCTATTATTAACAACACTAAAGTAACAACCTCCACCCCAGGTCTCACTAGATCCAATATTCCCTGGTTTTGAAAGTGACGTCAGAGTTGTTTTGTGTTCCCCACAGCTCTCTGGCACTTATCAGGTTTGTAGAGTAGCTTAGACAGGTTGTTAGATCTTTAGATGGGCAACGAATTTGTCTCAGTTCTCCACTCCTGATCATATTTGCTCCGACAGTTAGATGCGGAGGACATCACACTTGTAACAATCGCCTTGATACATATCTAGGTTAAAATGATTTTTTTAAATAGAAAGGAGAAATGGCGAGGTTTGCCACAATTTGGTCGTTGAAGAAAAATTGAGTTGAAACAGTAGAATTTGGGCTGGAATCTGAAAATGTCCTACCAGTAGGAAATTTTATGATTTTCCTCAAATCAAAGTTTTCTCCAGATATTCAGCTTCCAGTTCCTCGATGGTAACTTGTGTTACTCACACTAGGGTTGCCATTATCGGTACACAATTTTTTATCGCGATAATCGATAATTTTTTCAAAATTATCGCGATAATATCGGTTATCGGCGATAAATTAAGCAATATAATTGAAGTAATATTTGTATGCACTCTGCATACTTGCATTATGCTCCTATGCTATGTTACATCTTGTGCTGATTGCTTTGTTAAAGAATCAATTGCAATATTGCCCATTTATTTAAAAGCCCATATTTCATAGACAAAATATGTTCTTAAAGATTTATTATTGCTTCTAGCAAAAAATTTTTAAAAGTTTGCTCCTGTTAGCTGTGAACAGAACTATCTCCCGTGCAAGGGTATCTGTCCTTGCTACCGTAGTCGAATCGCTGCCCTAATGTAGGTCTGATAATTCTTTTGTCAGCGGGAAAGGATTGGAATCTGGCATCTGAAATTGTGGGAGTCGCCTGTGAGTCCTGAGGACCAATCGTCGAACTACTTGCGAAGCTCAATCCCTGTTAGTCTCTTTCTGCTTAAACAACCGCTAGTGCAGAGACTTAGTGTTACGTATCAAGGTTGACTTTGAGATCATTCTGTATTCTTGTCCTACATCTTCATCTAGAATACCGGGGACCGAGTAGAACTTTACCAGCGATACGAAGTGAAGGTTCTTTCTTTTGGCATATCGTGTACGTAGCCTATCGAGAAGGGTTTGAGAAAGTGGCGAGTCTATCTCAGATCTCTTCTAGCTTGCTGTCAATAAACTAAATAATCACTTCTGCTTGAGCGAGCATGCTTCCTTCTTTTACACAGAAACTCAGTTACAATCTTGAACGGTGCGAGAGCTAACTCAGTCTATTCTACATCCAGTTTTAGATTGCCTAGCTCCAAGTCATCTAAAATTCCGTGCACTTCATCAGTTATCCGGTCATATCTCTCCAACATACTGCACAGCGAGCTCAAACGGGTTTGGTAGTCTCGTTGCAGTGTGAGTTCCTTTCCGTGCTTCAACAAACAACAATAACCTTGTCTGACCATACAACCTCCAAGTTACCTAGTAGATGCGAAAAAAACCATCACACTGCAAACTATGCTAGCACTGGGATTTGACTTTACAAACAGAGAAATAGATTCGAAAAATATGTTAAATGTTGGCCATTTTACCCTAATAATAATGTGTCGAATATCGCGATAATTCTCGAAAATTATCGCGATAATCGATAACGATTTTTGGGAAATTATCGCCGATAATTATCGGCCGATAATATCGGTTGGCAACCCTAACTCACACTGACCTCAATGATTGGTCACTGGAAAATTTAGTTAAAACTGAAATTTCGATCACGGAAACGGCAAAAAAGCTTAGGTACATTCGAAAATCTTCCGAAATTTCTTCTTCTATTCTGAAGATGCAGGCTGTTAGAAATGCTATTAAAAAATGGCATCGTACCTTTTTGCCTATGATAGGAATCACTAGTTTTATCATGGGCGGGTTCCGTGTAATTATCTAAATACCACTAATTCAGTTACATTCCACCCACATTTTCTTGAAATACATATATTTATAATTGAGTTTGACCAAGAATCTCCCTCAGAGTAAATGGAGGATGTGCAGTCCGACGGGCATCTTCTTCGGGGATCCTATTTGGATGATAATAAAGGTGGAGTCATGTGGTGTATTAGGTATTGCACAACACTCCAACCTCCTCGCCTTCGGGTCAACTTCTGAGTTCTCCCCGATGAACCCTTTCTCTATGAGGTAAAGCTGATGTTGCTGTGTGCCTGACACCCTGTTCGATGAGCGCTCATTTTATTATAGCTGCCTTCTACATATCCGGTAAAGCTGTTTACAAAGTGTGCTGCCTCCAAAATTTGACAACTCCGAGCAGATTATTCGAAACACAGTCTTGACACTTGACTGATCAGATCAACTTTTAGCAGTTTACCTGCAATCCTGTTTCCACCCGCACACGCACGTCGCACAGTCACACGCAAAACCAATCGAATGTAAGCAAGCCAGTCACGTGTCTACTGTCTAATGGATTATGCGGAGTTTTACACACGCGTGTATTACAGTTAGCCGATACCACAGCCAGGTAGTCTATCTGTGTGATTATGATAACGGTTTGAGTGTACCGTACGCGTGTTTTACGCCTATTCAGCTCAGTTCGTCTTATTTCAATTTGTTTTGGCGGGACAATTTACTCTCGCAGGGCTATGTGTGGCAGTGGTTCGGATTTAAATCAGCATGTTCGTTGATGGACTAGATTATTGTTAGATTGTGTTACCTTTCTAGATTGTGTTATTTTTTTGTACTTTTAAGCTAATAACTTTATAAATTTACCAATGAAGCAGGGATTTCTAATGTGAATATCGAATAGCTCAATCTACATAAGTGACGAAGTGGGGTTCAGTTTTAACTTTTTGGTTTGCAAACTTAAAGTTCAAATCGAGCTATTAATGATCAGTCTAAACTAGTAGACCTGAATTTGTTTAGTTGTTGTAAATATTACGCTAAAATTTTTTTGGCTGACTGACGATAATGAGCGAATGTACTAAAATCTAATTTATTAATGAACATCTTATTTCTGTAAAGTGTACAATATTTGCAGATTGCAGCTTGTATTTTCACCCTTCGTTTAATTAGCATACTAGGATTTCCTGCAAATGATATCATCACTTAAACAATAAACACATCAACCTATTTTTTTTTTTTTACAATCTAATTACACTCATCAGTTGTACACTTAACTTTCATGTATACAATTGTTTAGGCTGAAAATAGAGCTGTAAACATTAAACTGTTGACAGTGTCATGTAGTCATGTGTACATTATAAGGTTCCGCATTTCATTTAGCTGTTTTAACCCTTAGGTATATTGCAACTGCTGCGGTATTTTCATTTCTCCAATTACATAAATTACAGTAGTAAATACATGTGTATTGTGTATATGGTGACTGCGAGTTATTTTTGTAATCTCATTGTATAAACGCGTATTTTGATTCCTCAGCGTGCTTTCTGCATGTCGACTATAATTGATAATTGACAACCAGTTTGTACGTGATCTCGCATTATTCATTCTTTCATTATTGAATATGTATTTGGATAAATCCTCATTGATATTTGTTGTCACTAAAATTTAAATGGCTCTTTGATTGAGTAGAGAGGCTCAGTTTTTAGTCCTCTACATTTAACTTGGTTAAATATTGTTGTTACTTTCTCCTTACACTTCTCTCTTCAAGCCATGATGCCCCAAAAAAGAAGAAGAGTCCGCCGTAGCAGTAAAAACGAACTTCAATTTGAGACCTACTATGTAACGGGTATATCCAGTGAGGGAGATGGGAGTGGAAGTGGAAGTTCCAATAATCTTAAAATTACTACCTGTCATACTGATTACCAGGTAATATCATTACCACTCTCAAGAATTGGATCTTTCATTTTTAACAATTCCAGAACAGTGCTTACCTGATTTAAAAGAATATTCCAACTTTAACATTGTAACTTTGAAACTGACCTCATTTTCTGAAACTCCACAGATATACGACATGTCGGGGGCACTGGAAAAGTCGCCCCCACCCTGCCACCCCAAGAATTTCTTTTTTGACAAGTGGGAAGATACTGACGTGACGCTAAACGTGGGGGACCTTGTCTTCAGAGGTCACAAGAAACATCTTGCACGATGTTGTCGGTCAGTGTTTATTTATTATTACAGATACATATTATCTTGTTTTAGTTCCATTATTAGAGCTGATCAACTTGAATAGAATTATTAACTTATTTAAATTACGGACATGTAATTGGGTAGATCTCACGTATGCCTTGGTATTTCAGGTATTTTGAGGGGATGTTTGGTAATAACATGCGAGAGTGCCGGAAGAAGGAGATAACAATTCACGAGGTAGACGAGGCCAGTTTCAGAGCCATCCTCACCAGTTTCTACACTGGGTTTCTGTCTGTTTGTTCTCAGTGTGTCATCAGGATTCTCAGAACAGGTTCGTAGCTCAGTGGATAGATAATCTTTAATTTGGGCAGATTTTTGTGCGTAATTGATATTACTATCAGTGGATTCGAGTCTGTGTTGTTTGCCTTGTTGAGGAAGGAACTGCTTTAGAACTGCTGAACCTGTTTGTTATAGCTTACAAGTATAATAACAGCTCATCGTACAAACTGGATAGAATAGTGTAAATTGTTCTAGCAACAAAGCTTTAAAATCACAGCTTGTAGTTAGTAAACTGCGAATTTCGATACTGAGCTATCTGTATAATTTTAAAGATATCCATCACCTAAACACCCCTCCCTCAGGAACGTTTCTACATTGTGAAGTGGTGAACGATGTGTGTGAGAATTACATGCTGTCTCATATGGCCCTAGCTACAGTGTTTGACGTGTTTGATATTGCAGCTGAGTTGGGTTATGAAAGGATCACCAACCAGGCCATCAAACTCATCTGCTCTAATCTAGGTGAGAAGATGGCAGTCATGGTGAGAAGATGGAAACTCATGTTTTAAGGAGGTTTCAATTTATTTGTTATTCGAAAAATTAGCTGAAATAAGCGACAAATTTAAACAAACCACTGAAAAACAAGTATTTTATTATACTTCACCCTCAGGACCAGAAGCTAACCTGTTTGAGACCGAGGATTTTCTGAACCTAACACCAGGAAGAATGTCTATTCTCCTAGACAACTGGTGGACTAACTGCAGTGAAACAGAGTTAGCAACAGCAGTTATACGCTGGGCTGCTCGCACGTGGGAGTGGTACGATATCCTGGCTCCTGGAGCTGTCACCTTGTCACCTGGATCAGGTGTTCTAACACCCTCCAGCTCTAGGAGGAGTAGCAGCACCTCTTTCAATGACAACGCTTCGTTTAATGACAGCGGAATTGTCGTAAGTGACGGATACTTGGTGGAGTTCTCTGAGGAAATGCTTGAGATTCCATCCCCTCCTCCCTCCCTTCCACCTCCCTTCCTTCCTCCCCCGCCCCCGGGTACTGTCTCTCCACCAACCTCCCTCCCAGGGACTTCAGACGATTTCACCGAGACTCCTTCTCCAAGATCCGGACGTACCACTAAAACTTACAAGAGACGCTCAAGAAGCTCACCAAGAAAAGCAGCGGAAACTTCAACCAGACAAGCTGTAGAAAGCAGCGGAAAACGAAAGCGAAAGCGAGAGGACGACACTGAAAGCGAAACCGAGTTGCAGATCCGAGGTCTAGCTCAGGTCCAGCAGGGACAGCGTGAGATCAGTGAGGTTCTCAAGAAACTGGAGTTTAATAACATGGAGATACGGTCTTTGCGGGGGTTCCTGAAGCAAGATATCATTGTGAAAGTTCCGGAAGTGTACCATCACATCAGACGGCTAGCTGGAGCGGTTCAGTATAGGTGTTTCCCAGAGAGAGGGTCTAAAGTATCAGTGTCTCTCTGCTATCACCGCTGTTACAGGTTAGTTATAGCTTTATTGGTTAGCTATCACCGCTGTTACAGGTTAGTTATAGGTTAGCTATTAATGTTTACTCAAAAAATATATATAATATCAATGGTAATAAGAAATTCATCCCCGTGGGGCACATGCATAAATATAAAATGTAAAGGAAATCTCAAACTATTCAATTTAGACTCTACCGGTAAAGTATGCAATGAAGGTTTATAACTTAAAGTTTTATTTTCCAATGGTTAATAGGTAAAGATAAAAAAAGTAAAACAAGACTGAGCACTTCAAAATTTGTAGAATTTGTAACTTGATTTGAAATACGCGGCGATAAAAAATAATGTCCAATGTTGGCAGTGTAATTGATGAGATATGCGACGTTTATTTATACAACAATCCAACGTTGATTTTATATTTTAGAAATATAAAATACCCTCTTTTTCCAGAACCTGCGAGAACCCTACCCGAACCACCGTCCTGTACTACTATCACAACAACAGGTGGCAAATCCTCGACAACGCCTTCAACATCAACCTCATCTCCGTCAAGTCCCTCGTTCTAAGCGACTTCCTCTACCTGTTCGGAATGCAGAAACTACCTGGACAGCAGGCAGAGCCACGAGCGTTCCGGTTCAACCAGTTTACGGGGGTGTGGAGTGAGATCGCTGTTCCGCCACATTCTTTTAATGCCAATGTGAGGTGTTTGGCGTACAAGGGTACTATTCTTATGATAGGTGCGTTGCTTTCGTTTTAATGGGATATATATTCTATAATCTGTGGTATTATAGATGTAAATATGTAAATTGTCCATCTTTTAATATATATTTGTACTCGCACATTTTTTGCAAAGCGCTGTAATTTACAGAATTCTGAAGCCTCGTGTTCGAGATACCATCTTTCAGCCGTCTTTTTTTTCTTCTTTTTTTTTCATTTTTACAAATTATACAAGGTACGTAATTACAGGAACTATGCCCTTAGCGGATGTGATGTTTCTAGCTCGATCAGAATTTATGGGGTCAGAATATTTGACAGATTTTAGTGACAGTCCATCTCTTTTGAATTTTATACTTTTTGAACTGCTCACTGAAACTTCACGACAAGGTCTACATCGTCAAAATTCCTGAAATTTCCGCATTTTTTCTTTACTTTTTGTCATCCATATCTTTAAATTTGGATCGTCATCTAAATTTATCACGTTGTAGCGTTACCCTACACAAGGCCTGCATTTTTTTAGAAAGCATTATTCGAAGAAGTTTGGCAATTTACTTGGTTACCATTTTGTTAATATTTCAGAAGTAATATATTTACAGGGGCGACAACTAGTCTGGATCCAGGATTGTCTACAGTCCAAAAAAGCTTTGTTAGAGTGTTACAATACATTCCTCACACTGACTCCTGGCAAGAGGTGGGTTTATAAATAACTGTAGATAACAGAGATATTATAGCAAAACATTTTTATACTGGGCCTCTTCTTTCCCCCAATTTTGTGGTCAATTAAACCGTGTTTTGATATTTCGCGAAATTAAATTGATTTTTCAGTGCTCATATCGTATTTGGTGATAATAATCACAATCGTATACTACAGATTTCAATAGGGAAATATCTACAAGTTGCCTCGTGGCAACTGAACCATATACCTAACTAATATTTAAATATGTCTCAATTCTCAAAAGCATTGTCCTCAACTAAGACACAAATTTCAAAAGAATGCTACTCTCAGTATCACATACTATTTACTAATCCTATTCCTATTGCAGCTAGAAACAGAGTTACCAATAACAAACTATCAGCTGCAACGTTACGTTAGTTCTATCATTGTACACGAGGGACTACTCTACTACGTATCTCATAATACTCTCTGCTCTTTCAATATCGGTGAGTTACTTAAACTTGTTTAGACCACGTGATGCCCATATAAGGAGTTTCACGTGATGCCCATATAAGGAGTTTCACTTTGGGGAATCTTCGCTAAGTTTCACGGTTGGCGAGTGCAGGAATATGATACAGGATGAAAATACAACAAGATATTGGGCTTTTTTTCTTGAAATTTCTGGGAATTAATAATAGTGTTATCGCTGAATAATCACGAAACGATAATTCTTATGAAACAAATAGCAAGCAGTTAGTTTTGCTAAACATTAGTGGTTTATACTGATCATGTTCTCTATTTTCAGACGAGGAAGCACCTCGGCAGAGGGTGGTAGCGGTGATAAGTCAGATGTTCACTGATATCAGTAACTATTGGCTCTTTGCTTACCGGGACACAATAATAATATTGGGTGGTCTCTGTACCGTACAGGTCAGATAATTTCTAGCTTTCCAGCTAATTATAGATACTTAATTTTCGTATTTATGTTGGAACTAAATGTCTAAATATCCAATTGTTTGCATAATTTTTTGACTTCTTTATATGAAAGGGCTGCATCTATCACGTGCCCTGGTAAAAATAAAAACAACCAGGAAGAAATGTTTAATTTTGGTTTATCCGTTGAGCATTTGAAAGACTTCCTGCGACCAAGTAATCATGAATCATATCTGAGTTACGGTTATAGCTGTAGTGGGGTGTTCCTTGCAGGAGACCTAGCTGTTTTTAGTAAAGATCAGCATAGTTTCCTAAGAATCTGTATCAACACAGCTTCTGAGGTACATGTGTCAGTTATTGTGCGACAATTATAATTGATACATGTGACTTTGAAAATAGGATCAACTGCCACAAATGAAAAGGAGATCGGCTTTTCGAAAGATTGCTTGCTCGCGTCGCCGGGCGCGCTGCGCGCTTATTTATCATAATTAAGAAGTCACCACATGATACGTAGTGACTTACATAGTTTAATATTGCCTCTCTTTAATTACCTGCATTTATTGTCTTCACCAATGTCCATGAAGCTTTTTTTTGTCTCTCTGTTGCCAAGGAAATTGATGCAGACATAATTGACGAAATCTTTACATTGCTAAGTGATGTTGAATACCTTATGTACTGGTTGGGATAGTTGCCCGCTTCAAATGAAAGTTTGTCCTCATCTGCGGAGTTGAATGATCAAGATATGAAGTTTCAGTGATATCTGATGTTTCATCGTTAGATTAGCGAGAAATCAAAAATCCCAGTGGTATCAGCACATCCAGACATTTTATGAGATGTGTTAGTCTCTTACCTCCACTAAGACCTGGCACTTCCATAAAGCTGGCATCTTTTTCTATCTGTATCTGATCGTCTGTAGCAGAATATTTCACAGTCGTTAAATAGAAATTCCTATGTCGAAGATAAACGTTTTTGGAGTCACCTATTACCCGAAATGAGACGGCTCCTTCGTATGCTGTGTGGAGACCTTCAACTACTTCGAACCTGCAGTATTTGTATTGCTATCTCTGTAAACTAATTAGGGGTTTTTATTGTAATCATTCTTAATAAGCCATGCTTTAACTACCCACCATACGATTAACAAAACTTACACGTGATATCATTACACTTGCTATCAATAAAATGTATATGTAACGTATCGGTATTATATGTACCTAGTTGCCTCTTTTTTGTTGGTCGTACAGACGACTACATTCCTTATATCTCCTACTTTCATGTACCCAACTATCTCTGGCTGATACCCGTTTAGTAGCAATGCTACTATACCAATCTCTGGAAAATATCAAAGATTTTAAAATTTTATTAACTCTCATTTTATCAACTCTACATATCAGTCAATGGGTTATCATTTATTAGCTTCAGTACGAACTGATAGTAGCGCTTGGTTCACCAAATGTGGAAAAAACAAAGTTTAACTTTTTTCCACTTAAAAATATTTTACCGGGGTAAGCACCGGGATCTAATGCTCTATCTTATAATAGTGGCCACCCTGACCACAGCCCCCTACGAAGAAGAAGAAGAAGATAGAAGCGCCCGGATTGAAATTGAAGACATGATTGTATTTACTGAAGCAGATTCTCAGCATAATAATCTACATTATAAATTTATAAATTCTTGCCTCACCTGATTGAAATCTGTGAACCAGAGTTAGCAATAGAATTGAGAACGTTAAAATCCGATACATGATAATACCTGGAGGGTTGACGGTTGTTAAAGTGTCTCAAGTTATGACTTTTGGTCTCATGGATCAGCATTTAAACAACAAATTAGCAAACAAAGAAGTTAATTTTGATATTTAAAGGGCAATATTTTGTTCATTATTAAAAGAGACAAACAACGATTGTATCAGGATTAAAATACTAGAAAATCGATGACTACAACTTCTGTTTCGTCGACGTTAATGTTGTTTTGGTTTTGACTATCATGGTTATGATTGTGGTGACTTATTACAACTTATTGTGTGTTAAGTGAAAGGTCTACCGAAAAATAAGACTTAATCTCAGAAAGTGTATATCGTTCATTTAGAAGACAACTATTCAAACAAAACATACAAATTATTTATCAGAAACAAAATAAACTCGATAGCTCTCTCCTGTTCCCTGAGAAATTTTCGCAACAATTATAAATCTGGACCAGTGCTACCTAGACATGCCACTTAATAACACAGATTGGTCTTCAGTTCTCCCAGTACCTACTGCACGTGCCATGCTCGTTAATATTATTTCCTTAGCCTCTGCACGTGCGCGAGAACTGTATGTTTAGTTTCTCAACCTCTTACTCTAAAGTGTCTGAGTACTTATACTCTTATACTCTGAGGACGCACTCCCACTGCTCATTAATGAGTTATTTAATTACCTCCCTACTTTCATGATTAACTCATTACGCACGTGCTTATTTCGTCACTGGTCACGGACAACATTACTGGGCGGCGCCTGGGGTCCCCAGGTACGGACAACAGTTTACGTTTACTGTTGGTGAGCACGTTTGGATGAGGGTAATATCAAAGAATATGCTGGTTGTCCGTGGTTACTGGTTAATACGGAAATAAACAAAGGAAAACTTAGTTCATAACTTACCGACCCGTGCAGCTCCAAACTGCGTCTCGTTGCCGGGTATACTACTTTAACTATATTAATAATATTGGGGGGGGGTGACACGTCCGTCTATGTCCGCTTGTCTCATAGAATCCAAAACGGACAGGACAGGACATGACAAGACATAGGCGGACATAAGCGGATATAAGCGGACATAATTGGCGGACATTGGTGACTGTTAGCAGCAAAATTTGTAAAATTTTGTCAAATTTTGTAAAATTTTGTTAAATTTTGTAAAATTTTGTTAAATTTTGTTAAATTTTGTTAAAGTTTTCTAGATTTTGTTAATTTTTGTTAAAATTTGCTAATGAGGCAGGTGTCCCGGGTGATACCTTTTTTAAAAGTCAAATTTTATGTGGTTCACCCTGTAGATCCTGTTTTAAAGGTTTATCCGAGATCGCTTTACAAGGGGAGAAGGGGGGAACAAGAGCGCATTACAAGGGGGGAACCCTCGAGTCCAACATCGTATATCGAAGGGTAGGTGCGGACTTTGAATACGAAAAAATATTTTCGGCTAATAATGATCAGGGCAGCATAAAACATGAAAAAGAATAGTTTTCAGAAAAACTTTGAAAAATGTTTATCGATAGCATAGGATTGTGTACCTTAATAAATCTAATCAAGAATGAATCCACAAAGAGCCCTGTGCCAAGAACAAAGAGCATAGTCGACTAGGCCTATATGTTATTAGTTACTGACGAATAGATCATGGCAATTAATTTTAGTTTTAGTTTAACTGAATGTTTATTTTATATAACATTTATGACCAGCAATACTGCAACTATTTGATTCCTCTTGTAATGTTACATTGCAGATAGATATATGGTTTAAGAGGGAATGGTATGTCCAAGTTGTTGCTTCTGAATATGACCCATGTTCTCTTTGGAGTTGGGAGTGGTGTATAGCTGTATACGATATTATCTACTATCTAGGTTAGGAATTTTACAATCTGTTATTCCTGCTTTGAAAATAAAAGTCTTTTTGAGACAATTAAACAAATTCAAATTGCAGCCAGGGACATACACCGAAACTGTTTAATGATTTGGTCGGGGAAATAACTTCATGTTCGGAAAATGTACTAGATTAAAGCAATATGTTTTGGCACTTTCAAAATTTTTTATAATGAGCATAGTCGACTAGGCCTAACTTTTAAAGTAGTTTTGTTGTTGGGCTTCAGTGAAATTCAGTCTTTCTAATTCTTCTCAAAAAGTAAATTTTTCCCAGGCATGCTTTCCGAGACTGTATCGCAATTAAGGGGATACCTCGATAAAACCAAAATTATAATTCGGATGAACAAAAAACGCCAGTGCCAATAACTGTACCTTACATTCCAAAATAACTCATCTTTTCTGATCTCAGCCCATGAACATTGAAGAAATAGTATAAGCTATAATTGTGGTAGCAAAATTCCCTGTCCTCCACATAACTTCAATATGGATCAGCTGACCAAATGCAAGGTGAGATGAGTAGGTATCATCTTACTACTCAACCGGCTATCTACTCTGTGACCTTCTAGTTTTACAATTTGACTTCATTTATTTATATTTAGTTCCTTCATTGGTTACAGATTCCATATTCTATTTTGCATTTTTCTTTATTCGTGCTGACCATTTTTTATCGATAACTGCCTCTTAAAGATTCAATAGGCATATTGAGAGTAAAGGATTTTGCCTTTTTCTAGGATGGTCGATTATTCCTTTTTATTGTATTAAATCTTACTACTCAACCGGCTATTTACTCTTTGACCTTCTTATAGTTTTACAATTTGACTTCATTTATTTATATTTAGTTCCTTCATTGGTTACGGATTCCATATCCTATTTTGCATTTTTCTTTATTCATGTTTACCGTTTTTTATCGATTACTGCGTCTTACAGATTCAATAGACATATTGAGAGTAAAGGATTTTGCATTTTTCTAGGATGGCCGATTATTCCTTTTTATTGTTTCAAATTAGGTGAAAAGTTTTAAAATAATAAATATTCAGCCACGAACTGCAATGTCCGAATACTCCTTTACCAAACTTCCTGTTGCAGTAACTCTCCCTATAAGTGCCAACAGAACTCACGAATTCCTGAAAGGGGCTATCTACAGCTTCAGCCCCCTAAACATGACCCTATCAATCACAATCCTCGTCCAGAACATTCTAATTATCGTATGCTACTACACTGACAAGGCTAGATTCGTGCCAGCTACTTTCATTGCTATAGCAACGAGTAACATCATCATGGCTCAGGGTGACCTAGCTCTCTCCATCGTGGGGAACCTAGTCTACGGTTCTCTGGAACTAAACCTGAAGTACTTGTTTTACAGTCTCTACATATACCAAGGAACATGCGCGGTTGGGGAGACATGCTCCAAGTTTTATAATGTGGTTTTGAGTGTGGTCTTGACGCTGAAAGTGGCCAGACCCTACACTGCCATTAACATTAAGAGGGTGAGACTAGTCATGGTGATTGTAACTGTGGTATGTGCTGTGTTACATTGCTTTGACGGGGTTGCTGTGTTTTACCTGAATGAGACGACCAGGTTTCAAGTCTACGAGACTCGCATCAACACAGTCAGCACACTTCCCATCCCCGGTCTCTGGACTCTTGTCTACATCTCCTGTCTCGCCAACACCAACTCTACCCTCTGTTTGAACCCTGATGGCTCTAATTCTGTGTTAACATCTCTGCTCTTCACAATACACGTGGGAGTGCCACCATTTATCGTTTTTGTCAGCATGGGGTTCCTGGTTTTCAAACTGTCTCGATCTCCAGTGAATGAAACTATATGGAGACATGTCGTCATCACTGTGTCTCTTGTCTCTACCCTCTTCTTTTTCTGCAACGCTTCTTTTCTCGGGGTTGCTGCTTTCAGCTACTTTCAGTTTGACGTCGGTGACTTTGTAAAGAATACAGATTTTAAATACTCCTACCTAACCAGAGGGAAAGTCACTGGGTTTGCAGTGTTCACTTTACCGTTAATAAATGCTGCTCTATTCCCTCTAATCCTCATCACAAGAGACAGACCGGACTTTTTTAGACGGATTTTTAGTAGAGTAAGGGACAGCTATAGAAACTTGCTGAATAATGAAGATAGTGACAGTTATCCTTATACTTAGACTCTAAGACCCCAGTTAGACGGCTTGTCATCGATTGCGAGATGTGTGACGTGCCGTCTAGCTAGGATTGCGAGATGTGTGACGTGCCGTCTAGCTAGGATTGCGAGATGTGTGACGTGCCGTCTAGCTAGGACCGAACACTTCATCTCGTCCCTTATTCTAAACGCCACACGCGACGTAAACGTGATCGAAATATTTCTGAACTTATTAATATACAAGTCGAGTTCTTGCACAATACCATATCTTAGACTCGAACAAACTTTTTTTGACAGAGGGGCACTTATCTTTTTCTAAATTATATCTTGTACATGTCTTCAACGTAACTTTAAATTGTTCAGTGAACTCACGAGATTTTGATGATTTATTTTAAACAAAGTTACGAGACAAATCCTTGCAAACCCATAATTCAGAACGAAATTGTCCTACAACAGCATAACGGGGTCATTTATTACTTCATACACAAAACAGATAACAGACAGAATCGCTATAAGGCATCCGAGGGAAAGCTGAGGCGGCGAGAACGTGGGGTGGGAAACAAATTAATTTGTTCATAGTTCGTCATTGACACGGCCAGCATCAGTGAGATCCAATGATTTATTCATAGCTCTTCATTGACAACAACAACGACATTCTTATTGACAAAGCCAGAACCAATGAGATCCAATGATTTATCCATAGCTCGTCATTTGCAGGACCAAGTTCAACCAAGTTCAGACACAGTATGATTTAAACATTAGATCGTACCCTTTTCATCACCTTTACACTTGGGGTCGTTCACATATTATGCGGTCATTTAGACACCCCCTCCCTCTCCCTCAGTGATTACGTAATATGTGAACAACCCCTTGCCACCACACTATATCAGTATCACTCCCTAACTTGACTGTTAAATGCAGGGAGGCGGCAACTGGCAGAACAGAGAGATCCTGATCTACAATCTGACCTCGGAGTCCTGGACCATCATCCAGAACCACAAGCCCTCCCCAATGTACGAGATGTTAACTGGCATGATCTACCATGATAAGGTCAGCTCTTTTCATTTAACTGGGCTAGAATTTACATAATGTGTTGAGATCATGAGATGTGTTAGGCTGCAGCTCTCCCTCTCACTTAAATCTCGACTAATGTTATTTCTAGCCAGATGGTTATAAACTGACTGCAAACCTCAACTGTTATCAGCCAAATTCTAAATTAAATTATTCATTCTTATAGAGCTATGATCAATTTATTTTAAAATCAACTTGGTCACATCTCGTCAAAGTAGATTTTTAATCAATTCAACTCCTAGTTTGACCGGGTAATAAATCCTCATCTCATCAGATATACACAGTGAGTCACGCTGCAGTAGGAGGTGACAGTGTAGCTAAGGTAGAGCTGTTCGACCTGACACGACACAAGTGGAAGAAAGGAACCAACTTAAAGTTAGTTCACTATAGTCAGGGGTCGTTTATGTATTTCGTTATGGTTATCACTTTTAGCTTTTTAGGCCAATTTTTAAACCCCCCCCCTCCCCCTCCCTAATCAGTTATACGTATAGCTATTGTGTTAAAACTACGCTAGTGTAACCATTTAGAAGCTCCCTCACTGCCCCCTCACTGAATATGTAATGTATGAACTAAGTGGTTAGATAGGTGGGGCCCGCTAACACGTGTTCTACTTCGTGGGCAATAATAGTTATTTCTGGAAACCGTTTAGTTATAGCTTAGCAGCTTTGGACAACTTGAGGTTTTTAAAACATTTTTATGCTTTGTTGTACTATATATCCATAGCTATGATAATGAACGTTTGATTATGATTTGTTCCACCAATACTTACTACTTGATAACACAGTACACTCCCAGGTACGACAGTCCGGTACACTGTGTAGAGTACGGTCTCACTGTGGGCTGCATGCTCGTCAAACCTCAGGAATCAGACTAACTTCCTACATTCTTAGCTTTCTAACTTCCTAGATTCCTAGCTTCCTAACTTCCTAGCTTCCTAACTTCCTAGCTTCTTAACTTCCTAACTTCCTACATTCTTAGCTTCCTAACTTCCTACATTCCTAGCTTCCTAACGTCCTAGCTTCCTAACTTCCTAACTTCCTACATTCATAGCTTCATAACTTCTTAGCTTTTTAGCTTCTTAACTTCAAAGTGTGTTCGAGCTGACTATTTGATAACTTTTTTAATCGTCCCATTAACCTTACTTTGTAGCGAACTTTTTGTTAATGTCTTATTTAGAATTTAAAATTTACTTTTAAGTTCACTAAACAATTTTAAGATTTATAATATGCGACCAACTTTGTTTCTAATATTGTGAGAGTGAACGGTGAAATCGCAAATATATCATGTGATACAGTTGATACTGTCACTTTCACTTTCACGTTCGCTTTCTTAATTCTTTGTTTTTCTTCCTTGTGCATTGTCCACCTCACAATAGAGTCCTTTCTTTGAATATAAATGCTAAACTTTATCTATGTGTAAAAGAAAAAGACGTATTGCAGTTTTCTGTAATCATTTGTAGTCGATATATTCTAATTCAAATATAAATGAATGAAGTAAAATTTTAAAGATAATTTGAACGTTAGATATTTTAAGAATTAAGTGATAGTTGCTACCTTATCTATCAAATCCTATTGCATCATTAAGAATGAGATCATACAAAACGTCCAATAGAATTTAGAAAATGTGCTTGTTTGGCGATCAAGTTTTGGTCGTAATATTTGCAAGTCTAAATGAGTATTATAATAATGCTATGCAATAGGATGTGAGTCTATTTAAAGTGTTTATCTACTCATTAATTTATGATTGACAAATTTAAAATCTGATCTAAGTTTCGTTTAAATAGAGTAACAGGTAAATGTAATGTATGATACATTTTATGTTTAACTTTAATATGCATTATTTTATATCTGATATTAATTTAAATGGGCATATTTGTAAAAACGTTATGTTATATTCTTATATTTATGCTATTATTTTTTATCTCAGACATTTTTAAGTTCCATAATCTTAAATCTGCTCTAATTATAAAATTGAAAATATGATTATTACAATTAATATTATAAGGGGTGTAATTTACGACTTATTGTTATTGTGTATGTATCATACAAATTTAAACGAAATAATGTGTTAAGTTTTAAGTTTAAACTGTTAAAGTTTGGAGTTTGATTATGGGCTCTGAGTGAGTTGCCATTCTTAAGCGAGTTAAATTTTTAAAGCGAGTTGTATTTTAAAGTGAATTGTATTTTAAAGTGAGTTATAATTTTAATCTTCGATCAATTTATTTTATTGACGGTTACACAAATTATTTTCTAAGATATGGGATTATATAGAATGATTTTACATCTTCGTACATTGAAAATTCAATTTAAACTGTTTAGTAGATCACTAGGGCTGTTGAAACTACTTTTTTTTAAACAACCCATAGGAAAAATTTCATTTGTGTCCTAAAAGGCGAAGTCTTATTTTGAACTTCTACACAATTGAATTATTAGTTTTCTACACGAGTTCGATCTTTTAATGTATACACTCTTTATTTGAAATATACCTTATAACGTTTGATTTGTAAAATGCGTTGATAATGTACGTGTAATTAACTTGTTTAATTTGTAGTAATCTTAATTTAAATGTAATAGAGTACTTTTAATTTCAATAATTCAACAATTGTAGTGGCAGGGCTTGCATCTGTTTTTGCATGGTCGACTTGAGGTCTGTATTATAGGTTTCACATTGTTTTAAATTAATTTTCTTTACATTTACACATTTCAATTTTAATCATGACAACGGCATTGTTATTGCATTTACATAAATTGAAAATAATACGATAGCTGATGTTTTGCTGAAAATGGGTAGATGGAATATAAAAACTTTTTTAGCGAACGTTCACAGCAGAAACCTTAACAAAACGAAAAGTTGTATTTTCAAAATCCTGTCCCATTTTCAAATATGAAATGTTCTGAACACAAATTTGACAGATTGGAAGAAATTTTTGCCCAGAAACCAATTAGACAGTTAATTGATGATGGTATGAAACCAAATTGAGGTACTGGGAGTCAAAATCCCGAACAAAATTGCAAAATCATATTGTCCCAGTCTCTGTCCCATTTTTAGTTTTTGAAGATGAAATTTCCAGGACCGAAATTTTACAGTTTTGACTGATTTTTTCACCCACAACCAATTAGTAAGTCAACTATAGATGCCAAATGACACGATTGAGGTGCTGGAAGTTTGATTTCGGTCGGAGGAAGCCCACAGTAGAAAGCTTAACAAAACGAAAAGTTGTATTTTCAAAATCCTGTCCCATTTTCAAATATGAAATTTTCTGAACACAATTTTGACAGATTGGAAGAAATTTTTGCCCAGAAACCAATTAGACATCTAATTTATGATGGTATGAAACCAAATTGAGGTACTGGGAGTCAAAATCCCGAACAAAATTGCAAAATCATATTGTCCCAATCTCTGTCCCATTTTCAGTTTTTGAAGATGAAATTTCCAGGACCGAAATTTTACAGTTTTGACTGATTTTTTCACCCACAACCAATTAGTAAGTCAACTATAGATGCCAAATGACACGATTGAGGTGCTGGAAGTTTGATTTCGGTCGGAGGAAGCCCACAGTAGAAAGCTTAACAAAACGAAAAGTTGTATTTTCAAAATCCTGTCCCATTTTCAAATATGAAATTTTCTGAACACAATTTTGACAGATTGGAAGAAATTTTTGCCCAGAAACCAATTAGACAGTTAATTGATGATGGTATGAAACCAAATTGAGGTACTGGGAGTCAAAATCCCGAACAAAATTGCAAAATCTTATTGTCCCATTCTCTGTCCCATTTTCAGTTTTTGAAGATGAAATTTCCAGGACCGAAATTTTACAGTTTTGACTGATTTTTTCACCCACAACCAATTAGTAAGTCAACTATAGATGCCAAATGACACGATTGAGGTGCTGGAAGTTTGATTTCGGTCGGAGGAAGCCCACAGTAGAAAGCTTAACAAAACGAAAAGTTGTATTTTCAAAATCCTGTCCCATTTTCAAATATGAAATTTTCTGAACACAATTTTGACAGATTGGAAGAAATTTTTGCCCAGAAACCAATTAGACAGTTAATTGATGATGGTATGAAACCAAATTGAGGTACTGGGAGTCAAAATCCCGAACAAAATTGCAAAATCTTATTGTCCCATTCTCTGTCCCATTTTCAGTTTTTGAAGATGAAATTTCCTGGACCGAAATTTTACAGTTTTGACTGATTTTTTCACCCACAACCAATAAGTAAGTCAACTATAGATGCCAAATGACACGATTGAGGTGCTGGAAAATTGATTTCGGTCGGAGGAAACCCACAGTAGAAAGCTTAACAAAACGAAAAGTTGTATTTTCAAAATCCTGTCCCATTTTCAAATATGAAATTTTCTGAACACAAATTTGACAGATTGGAAGAAATTTTTGCCCAGAAACCAATTAGACAGTTAATTGATGATGGTATGAAACCAAATTGAGGTACTGGGAGTCAAAATCCCGAACAAAATTGCAAAATCATATTGTCCCAATCTCTGTCCCATTTTCATTTTTTGAAGATGAAATTTCCAGGACCGAAATGTTACAGTTTTGACTGATTTTTTCACCCACAACCAATTAGTAAGTCAACTATAGATGCCAAATGACACGATTGAGGTACTGGAAGTTTGATTTCGGTCGGAGGAAGCCCACAGTAGAAAGCTTAACAAAACGAAAAGTTGTATTTTCAAAATCCTGTCCCATTTTCAAATATGAAATTTTCTGAACACAAATTTGACAGATTGGAAGAAATTTTTGCCCAGAAACCAATTAGACAGTTAATTGATGATGGTATGAAACCAAATTGAGGTACTGGGAGTCAAAATCCCGAACAAAATTGCAAAATCATATTGTCCCAATCTCTGTCCCATTTTCAGTTTTTGAAGATGAAATTTCCAGGACCGAAATTTTACAGTTTTGACTGATTTTTTCACCCACAACCAAGTAGTAAGTCAACTATAGATGCCAAATGACACGATTGAGGTGCTGGAAGTTTGATTTCGGTCGGAGGAAGCCCACAGTAGAAAGCTTAACAAAACGAAAAGTTGTATTTTCAAAATCCTGTCCCATTTTCAAATATGAAATTTTCTGAACACAAATTTGACAGATTGGAAGAAATTTTTGCCCAGAAACCAATTAGAGTTAATTGATGATGGTATGAAACCAAATTGAGGTACTGGGAGTCAAAATCCCGAACAAAATTGCAAAATCATATTGTCCCAATCTCTGTCCCATTTTCAGTTTTTGAAGATGAAATTTCCAGGACCGAAATGTTACAGTTTTGACTGATTTTTTCACCCACAACCAAGTAGTAAGTCAACTATAGATGCCAAATGACACGATTGAGGTGCTGGAAGTTTGATTTCGGTCGGAGGAAACCCACAGTAGAAAGCTTAACAAAACGAAAAGTTGTATTTTCAAAATCCTGTCCCATTTTCAAATATGAAATTTTCTGAACACAAATTTGACAGATTGGAAGAAATTTTTGCCCAGAAACCAATTAGACAGTTAATTGATGATGGTATGAAACCAAATTGAGGTACTGGGAGTCAAAATCCCGAACAAAATTGCAAAATCATATTGTCCCAATCTCTGTCCCATTTTCAGTTTTTGAAGATGAAATTTCCAGGACCGAAATTTTACAGTTTTGACTGATTTTTTCACCCACAACCAATTAGTAAGTCAACTATAGATGCCAAATGACACGATTGAGGTGCTGGAAGTTTGATTTCGGTCGGAGGAAGCCCACAGTAGAAAGCTTAACAAAACGAAAAGTTGTATTTTCAAAATCCTGTCCCATTTTCAAATATGAAATTTTCTGAACACAAATTTGACAGATTGGAAGAAATTTTTGCCCAGAAACCAATTAGACAGTTAATTGATGATGGTATGAAACCAAATTGAGGTACTGGGAGTCAAAATCCCGAACAAAATTGCAAAATCATATTGTCCCAATCTCTGTCCCATTTTCAGTTTTTGAAGATGAAATTTCCAGGACCGAAATTTTACAGTTTTGACTGATTTTTTCACCCACAACCAATTAGTAAGTCAACTATAGATGCCAAATGACACGATTGAGGTGCTGGAAGTTTGATTTCGGTCGGAGGAAGCCCACAGTAGAAAGCTTAACAAAACGAAAAGTTGTATTTTCAAAATCCTGTCCCATTTTCAAATATGAAATTTTCTGAACACAAATTTGACAGATTGGAAGAAATTTTTGCCCAGAAACCAATTAGACAGTTAATTGATGATGGTATGAAACCAAATTGAGGTACTGGGAGTCAAAATCCCGAACAAAATTGCAAAATCATATTGTCCCAATCTCTGTCCCATTTTCAGTTTTTGAAGATGAAATTTCCAGGACCGAAATTTTACAGTTTTGACTGATTTTTTCACCCACAACCAATTAGTAAGTCAACTATAGATGCCAAATGACACGATTGAGGTACTGGAAGTTTGATTTCGGTCGGAGGAATCCCACAGTAGAAAGCTTAACAAAACGAAAAGTTGTATTTTCAAAATCCTGTCCCATTTTCAAATATGAAATTTTCTGAACACAAATTTGACAGATTGGAAGAAATTTTTGCCCAGAAACCAATTAGACAGTTAATTGATGATGGTATGAAACCAAATTGAGGTACTGGGAGTCAAAATCCCGAACAAAATTGCAAAATCATATTGTCCCAATCTCTGTCCCATTTTCAGTTTTTGAAGATGAAATTTCCAGGACCGAAATTTTACAGTTTTGACTGATTTTTTCACCCACAACCAAGTAGTAAGTCAACTATAGATGCCAAATGACACGATTGAGGTGCTGGAAGTTTGATTTCGGTCGGAGGAAGCCCACAGTAGAAAGCTTAACAAAACGAAAAGTTGTATTTTCAAAATCCTGTCCCATTTTCAAATATGAAATTTTCTGAACACAAATTTGACAGATTGGAAGAAATTTTTGCCCAGAAACCAATTAGACAGTTAATTGATGATGGTATGAAACCAAATTGAGGTACTGGGAGTCAAAATCCCGAACAAAATTGCAAAATCATATTGTCCCAATCTCTGTCCCATTTTCAGTTTTTGAAGATGAAATTTCCAGGACCGAAATTTTACAGTTTTGACTGATTTTTTCACCCACAACCAATTAGTAAGTCAACTATAGATGCCAAATGACACGATTGAGGTGCTGGAAGTTTGATTTCGGTCGGAGGAAGCCCACAGTAGAAAGCTTAACAAAACGAAAAGTTGTATTTTCAAAATCCTGTCCCATTTTCAAATATGAAATTTTCTGAACACAAATTTGACAGATTGGAAGAAATTTTTGCCCAGAAACCAATTAGACAGTTAATTGATGATGGTATGAAACCAAATTGAGGTACTGGGAGTCAAAATCCCGAACAAAATTGCAAAATCATATTGTCCCAATCTCTGTCCCATTTTCAGTTTTTGAAGATGAAATTTCCAGGACCGAAATTTTACAGTTTTGACTGATTTTTTCACCCACAACCAATTAGTAAGTCAACTATAGATGCCAAATGACACGATTGAGGTGCTGGAAATTGATTTCGGTCGGAGGAAACCCACAGTAGAAAGCTTAACAAAACGAAAAGTTGTATTTTCAAAATCCTGTCCCATTTTCAAATATGAAATTTTCTGAACACAAATTTGACAGATTGGAAGAAATTTTTGCCCAGAAACCAATTAGACAGTTAATTGATGATGGTATGAAACCAAATTGAGGTACTGGGAGTCAAAATCCCGAACAAAATTGCAAAATCATATTGTCCCAATCTCTGTCCCATTTTCAGTTTTTGAAGATGAAATTTCCAGGACCGAAATTTTACAGTTTTGACTGATTTTTTCACCCACAACCAATTAGTAAGTCAACTATAGATGCCAAATGACACGATTGAGGTGCTGGAAGTTTGATTTCGGTCGGAGGAAGCCCACAGTAGAAAGCTTAACAAAACGAAAAGTTGTATTTTCAAAATCCTGTCCCATTTTCAAATATGAAATTTTCTGAACACAAATTTGACAGATTGGAAGAAATTTTTGCCCAGAAACCAATTAGACAGTTAATTGATGATGGTATGAAACCAAATTGAGGTACTGGGAGTCAAAATCCCGAACAAAATTGCAAAATCATATTGTCCCAATCTCTGTCCCATTTTCAGTTTTTGAAGATGAAATTTCCAGGACCGAAATTTTACAGTTTTGACTGATTTTTTCACCCACAACCAATTAGTAAGTCAACTATAGATGCCAAATGACACGATTGAGGTGCTGGAAGTTTGATTTCGGTCGGAGGAAGCCCACAGTAGAAAGCTTAACAAAACGAAAAGTTGTATTTTCAAAATCCTGTCCCATTTTCAAATATGAAATATTTTAAACACAAATTTGACAGATTGGAAGAAATTTTTGCCCAGAAACCAATTAGACAGTTAATTGATGATGGTATGAAACCAAATTGAGGTACTGGGAGTCAAAATCCCGAGCAAAATTGCAAAATCATATTGTCCCAATCTCTGTCCCATTTTCAGTTTTTGAAGATGAAATTTCCAGGACCGAAATTTTACAGTTTTGACTGATTTTTTCACCCACAACCAATTAGTAAGTCAACTATAGATGCCAAATGACACGATTGAGGTGCTGGAAGTTTGATTTCGGTCGGAGGAAGCCCACAGTAGAAAGCTTAACAAAACGAAAAGTTGTATTTTCAAAATCCTGTCCCATTTTCAAATATGAAATTTTCTGAACACAAATTTGACAGATTGGAAGAAATTTTTGCCCAGAAACCAATTAGACAGTTAATTGATGATGGTATGAAACCAAATTGAGGTACTGGGAGTCAAAATCCCGAACAAAATTGCAAAATCATATTGTCCCAATCTCTGTCCCATTTTCAGTTTTTGAAGATGAAATTTCCAGGACCGAAATTTTACAGTTTTGACTGATTTTTTCACCCGTAACCAATAAGTAAGTCAACTATAGATGCCAAATGACACGATTGAGGTGCTGGAAGTTTGATTTCGGTCGGAGGAAGCCCACAGTAGAAAGCTTAACAAAACGAAAAGTTGTATTTTCAAAATCCTGTCCCATTTTCAAATATGAAATTTTCTGAACACAAATTTGACAGATTGGAAGAAATTTTTGCCCAGAAACCAATTAGACAGTTAATTGATGATGGTATGAAACCAAATTGAGGTACTGGGAGTCAAAATCCCGAACAAAATTGCAAAATCATATTGTCCCAATCTCTGTCCCATTTTCAGTTTTTGAAGATGAAATTTCCAGGACCGAAATTTTACAGTTTTGACTGATTTTTTCACCCACAACCAATTAATAAGTCAACTATAGATGCCAAATGACACGATTGAGGTGCTGGAAGTTTGATTTCGGTCGGAGGAAGCCCACAGTAGAAAGCTTAACAAAACGAAAAGTTGTATTTTCAAAATCCTGTCCCATTTTCAAATATGAAATTTTCTGAACACAAATTTGACAGATTGGAAGAAATTTTTGCCCAGAAACCAATTAGACAGTTAATTGATGATGGTATGAAACCAAATTGAGGTACTGGGAGTCAAAATCCCGAACAAAATTGCAAAATCATATTGTCCCAATCTCTGTCCCATTTTCAGTTTTTGAAGATGATATTTCCAGGACCGAAATTTTACAGTTTTGACTGATTTTTTCACCCACAACCAATTAGTAAGTCAACTATAGATGCCAAATGACACGATTGAGGTGCTGGAAGTTTGATTTCGGTCGGAGGAAGCCCACAGTAGAAAGCTTAACAAAACGAAAAGTTGTACTTTCAAAATCCTGTCCTATTTTCAAATATGAAATTTTTTGAACACAAATTTACAGATTGGAAGAAATTTTTGCCCAGAAACCAATTAGACAGTTAATTGATGATGGTATGAAACCAAATTGAGGTACTGGGAGTCAAAATCCCGAACAAAATTGCAAAATCATATTGTCCCAATCTCTGTCCCATTTTCAGTTTTTGAAGATGAAATTTTCAGGACCGAAATTTTACAGTTTTGACTGATTTTTTCACCCACAACCAAGTAGTAAGTCAACTATAGATGCCAAATGACATGATTGAGGTGCTGGAAGTTTGATTTCGGTCGGAGGAAGCCCACAGTAGAAAGCTTAACAAAACGAAAAGTTGTATTTTCAAAATCCTGTCCCATTTTCAAATATGAAATTTTCTGAACACAAATTTGACAGATTGGAAGAAATTTTTGCCCAGAAACCAATAAGACAGTTAATTGATGATGGTATGAAACCAAATTGAGGTACTGGGAGTCAAAATCCCGAACAAAATTGCAAAATCATATTGTCCCAATCTCTGTCCCATTTTCAGTTTTTGAAGATGAAATTTCCAGGACCGAAATTTTACAGTTTTGACTGATTTTTTCACCCACAACCAATTAGTAAGTCAACTATAGATGCCAAATGACACGATTGAGGTGCTGGAAGTTTGATTTCGGTCGGAGGAAGCCCACAGTAGAAAGCTTAACAAAACGAAAAGTTGTATTTTCAAAATCCTGTCCCATTTTCAAATATGAAATTTTCTGAACACAAATTTGACAGATTGGAAGAAATTTTTGCCCAGAAACCAATTAGACAGTTAATTGATGATGGTATGAAACCAAATTGAGGTACTGGGAGTCAAAATCCCGAACAAAATTGCAAAATCATATTGTCCCAATCTCTGTCCCATTTTCAGTTTTTGAAGATGAAATTTTCAGGACCGAAATTTTATAGTTTTGACTGATTTTTTCACCCACAACTAATTAGTAAGTCAACTATAGATGCCAAATGACATGATTGAGGTGCTGGAAGTTTGATTTCGGGCGGAGGAAGCCCACAGTAGAAAGCTTAACAAAACGAAAAGTTGTATTTTCAAAATCCTGTCCCATTTTCAAATATGAAATTTTCTGAACACAAATTTGACAGATTGGAAGAAATTTTTGCCCAGAAACCAATTAGACAGTTAATTGATGATGGTATGAAACCAAATTGAGGTACTGGGAGTCAAAATCCCGAACAAATTTGCAAAATCATATTGTCCCAATCTCTGTCCCATTTTCAGTTTTTGAAGATGAAATTTCCATGGCCGAAATTTTACAGTTTTTCCTAAATTTCTCACCAGCAACCTATCAGTCAGTCAACCATTAATGGCATATGACACGATTGAGGTGCTGGAATTTGTTGGTCAGATTGTCATATATTGTTCTCTTACATTACTGATCATTGTGAGAAATCCAACATTAATTTCTTGGTTGTACCAGTGCGTCTTCAAGGCAACCTATACTTATCAGTTATCTGCCTGGATGCTTAATCAGAACTAACGATAATGGAGGTAGAGACTTTAGAATCTGGAGAGTTTAGAATAAAGAGATATGGATATGTACTGCGAGCAGGCAGCTGCCGAGCAGGTCCTCAAATTAAAAACTCAATAAAAACTTTTGATAAATTGTGTTTCATTTGTCGCGCTGAAGAATTGGGGTCCTTACCTGAGAGCATTCGAGTTTTGTTATCGCTTATATTGTTATAAGTACAATTGTGGCCTAAGACAATGATGAACAGTAAGTTAGGAAAGTGATGATATGGTCAACACTGAATGTGTTTTAATGATAATAGTGCTTATCATCAGACATCAATATTCAAGCTTTGAAGAAGATCCGTTTGTTGGCACTGCTTTGACCATGCTTGCTTGGTTACAGATTTCTGGTTGCCGCTATAATACTAGTAGCAGTGTACTTGTTTAGCCCTTCATTACATCTTCACAATAATCGTGCATATCATGTCGTTTGACAACACCGCTGAACAATGAATCACATGATTGCTGCTTCAAGCCCTTCAAGGGCTCGTAATTACCGTCAAATGCAAGACGCAACTACTTGCGGCATGCAGGTCTATTCCTTTGAAAATATTTTCTAATTTGCACGCCAAAATCCGGCGGAGAAGTATAACTATGTTAAATAAGAGTTGCAGATTGTCGTTTGCAGTAGCTCGGTAGCCTTTTTTGCTTAATTTCTGCTTTTTAAAGTAGTTTTACTTTAAATTTTAGCATTTTGCCTATGTGTGAGCCGAGCATTTAATAAAAATAAATAAAATTATTCGATTGAGCAGATGGAATTTGTTCAATCATTTTATCAAAAGTTGTTTCCTATAATAAATATAACTTTAAGTTAACTTTAAGTTAAACTGCATTGTTACTCATGTACTAGTCAGAAACAACATTTTGCATTTTTTTTGCTAATAGCTTTAAGTTAATTGTGGCAGTATTGAACCTGGTAACATGCAGTTGACCTAATATTTATCACTATAATTGGCGTCTGCACTATATATGCATTGATTTGTGCAAGATTTGAGTAAACATTATGCTTCTTAACTAGCTCTTCTGACTTAACCTAAATTAATTATGGACATTGTTATGATGCTGTGTTCCGAATCAAATTTTTAACGATGATTTCCAATAAAGATCAGCAGATAGAATGCCTTTTGGAAAAACTGCCAGAATCCAGCAAGCAGACCGGCAGTTTGGGAAGCATCTGAACCAAATAAAGAAAATATGTGAGAACGAGCTAAGCAGGGAAACTAAGTGTATCGAGGAGGTGTTCAAACTTGAAATGGTTTGTACTTTATACCACAAATATAATTTTCTTTAAAGTTTAAGTAGTCATATCCTGGAATTGGCATCCAGCGTTCAAATAAAGTTCGGTATGTAAGTGAAACTTCTATTCATTACACTGACAACTCCTCCAGCTGCAACATGAGTTTGAGTTCCAGGAGTCTCTAACTCTGCTAAGAAGGATACAACACGTGTCACACAGACGAGATGCTGTACTGAAGCGGAGCTTTGAGAGGATCCTGGAGCGATTCAGTTTCAGGTGGGTTTGAATCACTTTTCATACAAAACGCTGATTTCTGATAATGAATTAATAAAACTCATAAATTCTTTTCATTCCACATTGTTATATCATGAATTTATAAAACACGAGACCTACCCAATTTGACTAACCTATATCCGTCATCCGACCTACTAGTACTAGATGACTCAATCGTCTTCATTCTTTAAACCTACTAGCAGGAACCCGTATTACCCTAAAATGGTGTCAAGACTCAAGAGACTAAAATAATTATCACCTATTTAATTCGCGTTTTTGACACCACTTGGGGGTCAAAATTTTGGGCTCTAAAACTCCTATTTCTTGGCCAATTTTTTTTCATGCTGATTTGGAGGCCATTAAAGCATTTGGCCCAGTGAAAAAAATTTCAGTTGTATATCTTTTACGGTTTTTGCGGAAATTCGCGTTAAAGTTGATGCCGTGGTGTCAGTAAAATGGTACGGATCCATATATATATATCGTCTCGCTTTATATATAGTAAGATTACTCGCACCTGGATGTTAGTTACATCTTCAAAGAGATCCCCAAGGTATAAACAGATATAAAGCAATTACAAGAAATACTTATTTATTGTGTGTGACCCTCCCCGAGTTCATCCACTACCACATCGTCTACCTCAACCATAAGTTCAGCTGAAACCTCAACCACTACCTCAACCACGATCTCAACCACGATCTCAACCACGATCTCAACCACGATCTTTACTATAAGCTCTGCTGCTACCTCAACACATTTTGAGCAGCTGCCATAGTCACCGCAATGGCACCACCAAAATGAGTGCCGAGACTGGAAGAAGTAACGAGACAGTTTACATATATGGCTAATAACGTCAATACCGGACTGGCAATATGCGGTTTAAGGCAGGCCGGGACACGTCCCCTGTTTCACATATTTACCCGAGGGAATGACACCGTATTCTAATGAATATGCTATCTTGCATGGAAAGATTGGAAACAATTCAGTAGTTTTAGCAACTTTGATCATACTTGGCTACTGGCTAGACCTAAACTGAGTTTTTCAGACTTCTGCAGTGACATGTACCGTCTTAAGAATTCGCCTATTTTCTTCAACAAAAATTGTAGCTTTAGCTGACAATATAATTGTATTCCTGATTATAAAGTATCTCTACCAGTACCGGGTGGGCGACAATTGACCCCCCGACAATTGACCCCCCGACAATTGACCCCCCGACAATTGACCCCCCGACAATTGACCCCCCGACAATTAACCCCCCGACAATTGACCCCCGACAGGAGTCAAGACCCAGGACCCTGACCCTGACCTTGACCCTGACCCTGACCCTGACCCTGACCCTGACCCTGACCCTGACCCTGACCCTGACCCTGACCCTGACCCTGACCCTGACCCTGACCCTGACCCTGACCCTGACCCTGACCCTGACCCTGACCCTGACCCTGACCCTGACCCTGACCCTGACCCTGACCCTGACCCTGACCCTGACCCTGACCCTGACCCTGACCCTGACCCTGACCCTGACCCTGACCCTGACCCTGACCCTGACCCTGACCCTGACCCTGACCCTGACCCTGACCCTGAAACTGACCCTGACCCTGACCCTGACCCTGACCCTGACCCTGACCCTGACCCTGACCCTGACCCAGGACATTAACCCTAACCCTAACGAACCCTAACCCTACCCCTAACCCTAACCCTAACCCTAACCCTAACCCTAACCCTAACCCTAACCCTAACCCTAACCCTAACCCTAACCCTAACCCTAACCCTAACCCTAACCCTAACCCTAACCCTAACCCTAACCCTAACCCTAACCCTAACCCTAACCCTAACTCTAACCCTGATCCAGGACCTTAACCTTAACCCTAACCCTAACCCTGACCCAAGACCCTGACCCAGGATCCTGATCCAGGACCCTCATGACCCTAACCCGATCAATTGACCCTAGTGTAATTACATGGGGGGTCAATTGTCGGGGGGTCAATTGTCGTACTCAGCCGTAAATTTCGCGACAATCGACCCAAGTGTAATTACATAGAGGTCAATTGTCGGGGGGTCAATTGTCGCGGTACCACCAGTACCTCCCCTCTTTTAGCTCAGTGTACGACAGTGAAATGACGCTACCACCGGTACAAGGCATACCAAGACACAAACTCCCGCCAAGAACTGCCCCCGCAAAACTCAATCCTAAATCAAAGCCTTCATCTTCTTCTCAACCAAAACACCAGATTCACTCAGCCGGTGCTAAATCAAACCCACTCCGGATGAAGTACGTGATAATTCGTTAGAATTATTTAATTTATGCGAATATCCTATCATCTAGGATTGAGTACTTGTCAATGTATATTTCTTTGTAGTTTTTGTTATAGTTTCGAGTGGTTAACTTAGAGAACTTGGTTAATGTGTCATGAAGTTGTGTTTGAACTTCAGCATGTTCGAGACTTTTTGTGGTATGAATGGTCTTTTATACTTGTTCATGTTCATTAGTACGTAAGAAATGGACAATGTGCTATTGAATACATGGGAATTTTACATATTTTAATGAAAAGTTAAAATTTATTCTAGCAGTCGGGCGTTCATGGCAACAGATAGTTTTAAATTGTCTAAATTTCGACTGAAACGTTTAAATGGCCTGAAGTAACTAAGCTACAATCAATATCAAAAATAGTCGCATTTTGAGCAGTACAGCTATATGCCTATAAGTATAAATAATGAATAAAGCAGTAAAAACCACAATTCTAATTCTCGTTCTCTATTATAGTTCTAAAATTACGAATTCCTGGAAGAAGATAAAGATCACACTACCTAGATGTGAAAATGAAATGGAACCAGCCCCGTCAAACGAAAGAAGAAACCCATTTGGTCTTCTCTCAAATGAGGTATTGTTAGTTTTCCCCCTGATTTACAGTCTCAACATGGACACACTGACACATTCATTAATTCAATGCTGAGATTTTATTAAATTAAAAATTGTTTATTGCAGATAAGTCGTAAATGTGATAGCAATAATGAATAAAGGAAGCAATATGAATAGTTTTTAATTTCGATTATCTCAATCAGTCAATCTTATCAGTGGTTTTAAGAAGTTCAGAAACGTTCAGAAACTTTTCATCCAACTCTAAGCTCTAGTTCAGTCTCAGATAAGGGCAAGACTTTAGAGTCATGCACACTTGGACCATTGTAATAACATATCTAAAAGACCCCCTCTTCAGGCTTCTACCACCTCCTTGCTTGGACTAGCTAGAAGATCAGGGAGAAGGACGACTCAGTCCCAGGATCACATCAGCCGGTTCATGCTACCCGCGTGTCTTGCGACCAAACCCATGCCCCGAGCTAAAGACAGGTTTCACTAACTAGGATTTGATGTTTTCATTCCACTACTAGGGATATTATTTCGGTTGATAGTCGACCGATTACGTTCATTCTGAAAAAGGAGATTGATTGAGAAGACGAAAAATAATAAACACCTCATCATTTAATCGATTGTTGAACAATTTCACCATATTTCTTTTCTTCTGGCTCTGCCCTCATCAACATTTATCGAATTGACCGATTTTTCCATGAAATCACATCATGGACCGGTCCGGTAGGTACTGATCAGTGATCACACCAGTTCATCAAACTTCGCGCCGATATTGCACAAGTATACTCAAAATATCTCTGTTGTAAGTGATCCCAGCTCCAAGAGGAGAACCTCCCAGTAACCTCATTATAACCTCATTATAACCTCATTAACCTACCTTCCTACATCAGGTACCTTGAAGCAATGCAGAATAAAGTTCAGCTTTGTGACATAAGGGAATGTAGTTACTTGCGCATATCTGCAGATCTACGAGCCAAATCAAAGTGACTACATATGCTTGGGTCAAATTCAATCATTCCACTTAAGGATAAATATATTTTTGCAACTGCGTGATAATTTACTCGCATATGAACCACTCACCTTTGATCACATTACTGTTTTTAGTTTTTACGTTAAGTTACATTATTTGAATTTATCATTACCTTTTTTTTATTTGTACTAGTTATATTTTGAGAATAATGAGATCAAAGCGATATCTACAAATATCTTGAAATGTTTCAGTCACAAAATTTGTAAACATTCACGATTGATAACGGCTAAATTTTAAAAGCAAGTAACAGGTTTTAAAACGTTTTTATCGAAATTTTAATAATATTTAACTGTGATTTTCTTTTATCGCACCGCAGTTAAACTAAACATTTGTTTAGTTTCTAGCTACAAATTTAGAACTGAAAACTCCCTGCAACAGGATCTACATACAGAGACAAGCATCTTAATGCTGTATGAATGATAAATGATCAACAGTTACTGTTAAATGTTAGTGTTAAGGAGATAATAAAACGAGTTGTAAACCCCTTGACAAATTATTGTTTTTTGATGTTACCAGTACTTAATACAAACAGCCGAGTCACGATCAAGGCGCTGAGCTCAAGCTTTTCTCGCACCCAGACTCGAGTGCTGTTTTGTGATTGGTCAGAGCAGGAACACGAGGTGGTATTAAGCCTTATGATTGGTAAAATCAGGATCTTTAATAATAATACTGCATATCAAGACATTAATATTATACAATCATTCCCAAACTCTTTGAAATGCAAATATTCACAAAAACAATAGTATTCTTTATCGTCATGTCAGCTCAGCTAGGCAGTTCCAACTTTCTCATTGGTTGGATATTAGGTGTCATTATTTTACAATAGGTCGTGACTTGGCCACGTGTTGAATGGTAATGTTTAGTTATATTACCAGTCACGTGAAATATCCAAACAACACACCGCTCAACCTTACTAGGCGGCGCTCAGCCTTTCATTCCGCCGCGCCGAATCTCTATATTGTATATGTTTATGAACATGTTACTGATAGCCTGGGGTCTCCAGGTAAGCAGGCAAGATCAACCTGCAATCAGTTCAATCATCATGCAATGCATTTCAAACCAGTCTCATCATGGTTCCTATTATAACTATTTTTTGCTTTGAACCTCATCATACTAATTTGTGTGTTGTCATGACTCATTATATTTGTTCATTATATGAATGATATCAGCTAACGCTGATAATTTGCGAGCGTGCTCTACAGTCGATCTTCGAAATTTTTCTAACTGTCGCCGACAGTTGAGAACAACTTCAATCGATGTATTTTCGGACGCTGATTCCGAATCACCCCCATGACATAGGGTTAAAATGCTTATTACATATTAGAGATTGGGTTAGGCAGGGTTCCAGTGAGGGTTGGGATCAGATTAGATGGCTATGATTTCGAATAGTCATTCAGGGCCACCAAGAGAACGTGTTTAAAAAGTCACGTGACAGTCGAGTGTAGAGTGATTAATCATCATCCGATAATTTGACGAAATTCGTTGATTTTGGTCGTATTATTCTGTCATATTTTCGGTTCCTTGAATGAGATCATTTTGAAAATTTGTGACGACCTTCCAATAGGGCTTTCACAACTGTCCGAAAAATTAGGTGGATATCGGAGTTGATCAATGATCAATTTAATATAGCTTTAGTGATGAAAATGGGCCATGGGGCAAAATACGGTTCTTTAATTTCAGCTGTAAGTGTAACAATAACATAATGTTTGATAGTTGGATATCATGCTCTAAATTTTTCGGACAGTTTGATCCTTGTAAGTCTATAAGTAAAAGTAAGCTAACCAATTTTTGTTAAAATTGGATCAAGGGATCAAGGTTACTCAATACGCATTTGTTTCAAGAATTTTGTGCTGGCCGAAATTAGCGCTAGAAAAACCATCCTACAGTCGGCACGCGCGGCTCACTGTCGATGGCGCACTACCTAGCTTAACCCTATACTAGGGTATGGTATTTTGGTTCAAACTTAAGACTTTAAAGAATCAAAAGTAGCCGAATTGATCCTCCAAACCTACGACTTTAATGAACTAAAATTAGCTGTATTTCGCCGTTAAAATACAGCTCATACTTTTTACTTCATGATTGGGTCGTAATTCAAAATCTAATTTGACAAGAAGTGGGCTTACCTGGGGACCCCAGGCTATTATGTTCATAAAGATTCGGCGGAATGACAGGCTGAGCGCCGCCCAGTAAGAAGTGGGCAGGCTCATTTGTATCACGTCGTGACACCCTTTGTCGTTTCACTATATTAGAGTTTCTATGATACAGGGGGAGCCGCGCACTCGTGCGTGGCGGGTCATACAACGTATGACAACTATGAACTACAATTATACAACCCTAACCCTAACTAGAAATTTAGACCAACTTCCTTATACAATCATATCATGCGATCGAGACAGTGTTTCGCCGATATCTCGCCAGGGGAGCATTTTAACCATGTGTCAATGTCATTGGGTTGATTCGGGATCAGCGTTCGAAAATGCATCGATATAACAAGCTCAAGTTGGTTTCAACTGTCGGCCGGCCGGGGGCCCTTTTAGAAAGTGTAAAGCGATTTAGCACGCTTGGCAGATTCCGAGTCACCCCACATGCATGAAAATGAAATAGTGAATAGGGTTAATTGTTAAATACACTTCACAATGACTAACAAGTTATCAGCAAAAAGGTTGTAGCGCGATGCACTAATATACTCAATACTGAATCATGCTATCCAGTATCCAGTGCAGCTTCATGTATCACACATTTATTATGATATAGCCGGGGCTTATGTCCTTTTTTGTATTATATTCCTACCATATCTGAAAAAGTTAAATCGTGACCCTCCGATTTATTTTCAATAAAAAACATCTTGATATATAACATATAACTATAAGTAACTGTGTAGCCAGCAGCAGCAGACACCACGGTATCAAGTGCGTCAAAAACCGATTTAACCGAAGTATTACTTTACTATTAGGGGCCATGCATTTTGACTACACATAGCCATGTGTAATTGTATACGCGTACTACTGCGTGCATGACGCGCTTGTTTCACTGCAAGCGAGAGGGCTCTGGTTAGAGCAACATTTTGACCATTGTTAATAATCTGGCCCGGCGCGCGCTACTTCGTAGCTGGTAGCACTTGCCATCGGGCCATAATATTTCGAGAAGAAAGCGGCGCGCACTACTTCGAAGAAATTTAGACAAGTAACATCCGTCAACCATGCATTTACTTAGGACGTCCGGCAAATATGAAATAGGGAGGGGGCCGGGTGGTTTCGAAAATTCGGACACACCCGGACATGGGGAGGGGGGTGATCTGAAAATCTGCGATTTTGACGGACGTCCTTAGTAGATGGCCCTTTATATTTTATTTTGTATTTCTATCGGCCGAGTAGCCTATACTGTATATACTAGGTAGTTTACATGACTTTTTATGTTTATCAGCCGCTATTTTCTTAACGGGTGATACTCGTAAAATATTTGTTTCAAGACCGTACGTCGACGAGTCCCACTCGGCGCGCGTCTTGGTAGGTTATAAACCTAAACCTATTTTCGTATTATCTTTGCAATAGCTGTTTGTAAAACAACTAAGCCTGAGGTCCCCGGCCAAGTAATATAATTAACAGCTAACTAAAATTGTTATATTTTGTATTTTGTATTTGACCAAAACCCATAATCATGGGTAGAGTGTACCGCTGCCAGTGTCTCTCTTTTCCAAACAAAAGGAAATGATATTAATTTGAGGAACAGTCCGCTAATGCAAATTGATACCGAGAATGAAATCGGTCGCTCGCTTTTTCAAATCAATAAGCTTTATTACAATTCGTAAGCCGTGATCGAATGGAAAAAGCGAGCGACCGATTTCATTCTCGGTATCAATTTGCATTAGCGGACTGTTCCTCAAATTAATATCATTTCCTTTTGTTTGGAAAAGAGAGACACTGGCAGCGGTACACTCTACCCATGATTATGGGTTTTGGTCAAATATCATCTCTTTTTGATTATAATGTCAGGATAATTTACACAGCTAGTCGAAACTTCATTAACAAGGAGGTAATTTCGACGATTTCGAAATTCTGCCTTTGAAAACGTTTCCTTGTGTTTAGTTAGGTATTTCTGTCGATAACCGACTGAATATGGCACTTTTTACTCATTCAAGTTGGCATTAAATTCATATATAATGCCATTTAAATATCGTGGAAAGCAGAATATATTCGAAATCACGAATGAGCAAATTTCTCACCTTTCGCACGTGCAAACTTTGAGCGGACGTCGCGTGCGCATACAATATTGCATCACCGTAAATTTTTGCATAGTGGTATTTAATATATAGTTTGATAAGCATGCAAAGTTTCAGAAGATTTCAAAAAGAACTTGGATCACAGCGGGACTCCAAAGTTGATAAAAATCGTGAAAATCAAAATTTTTAGCGATTTTAGCGATTTTAAATGAATTTGGGCGTGTCCCCACGTGTGCAACTTTTCGATTTTTAACTTTAAAACTAGCCTATAACACAATTTACACCTTTAAGAAGCAAAATTGAGCTCCACAACCCAAGGGATGGCCCAACACCAGAGAATACTAATTCACAACTTTTGTGTTTTTATAAAATTATTCTTCAAAAAAGCACTAACTTCAATAGCAAATATCTTTATGAAGGAGCAAGGTAGGAAACTATTCCGGTAGATTTTCGGAATGCTTGAACAATTATTTAAGATAAAAATGTCCTCAGATTTTGAATAAAATTACTCCTTAATAGTGTAAAATCGATTTAAAAAGTTGTTACTTTGTCAAAAGTCAAGTTTTAAAAACACTTAACTTGATGACGTCATCAAGTGATGATGATGACGTTAAATTATTTTTCAATACAATGTAAACTAAAGCTTAAACAATTATCTTTAAAACCTGTGGTTCGAAATGACTGTATCGTTTATACTTTTGAATCTACGGACACTTAAATGTAGGCTACAATTGACTGCAAAAAGCGTCTATACATACATATATATCTTCACGACAATCTGTTGTAAAACAGGGGTTCCAGAAAACCCACTTCCCGATACTCCTGAAACATGACATTTTTTTTACAGTCGATTTGGACAAGGTCTAGACGCCCTGCAAAGTTTCAGATCTCTAACTCAATTTTAACATGGTTTTTAAGGCACCTGAATATGGCGATTTTGGGTTTTTTACCTAATTTCGTATAACATGCTGGCGCGTATTTTGCGCAAATTTCTTAAAAACCTCCATACAACTATTTCTTATTCCTGTCATCTTCAACATTGAATTAGAATGTTTTGAACTTAAATGTACCTGCTGAACTACTTTCGATGAGTCTTAATGCCTGGAAAACAATAAAGGGGATATAATCGTATAGGGGGTAAATAGTGTTGTGAATATAAGGGCGACGGTAATGCTTGCCAGCATTGTGATTTTATTTTTAAACGTAATTTTAGTGTCGTCATACTATCTTTTGCTATTAATATTATAAAATCTTTAGTTGCATGATACATGAATGGTATTAATAGTTTTTAAAAGGGCAATATATAGATTTAATAATTATTAACCAGCGGCAATGAGTTCACCAGGCACATAAAATGAATTTAATAAACAACGATCAAGAATCAAAATAAACTAAAATTATCATTACTAGTAGTAACTATTAGTATTACTAAATAATCGTCAAGAAAATGTCCTTTTGAAAACAGATTGATGTCTACTCGCAATTTTCTCTTCTGCGAAGTTTTTAAACTGATCGTAGTCTCCAGCCTCCCCAATATTGACAGAAAAAATCCCAAACGATTGAGTATCCGATATCCGCTCCGCAAGGGGTCGAAGGTATCTCCTTGTGGCACGCAGATAAGGCTCCGTATCTAACTCACGAACACCTTGATAATCGATCTGAGAATGTCTACAGTAAATCTTGGGCGAATATTTTTAATAGAACTTTTTTCATTTAATCTGTTTAATAAAAATCTTAAAGAATTGCCTAATTCATTAACTTATTATTATAAGAATTATATTAGTTGTGAATATATTTAGTAGTACTGTTGGTACTATATACTATTATCACTATAAATAGTCATTAGACCGGATGAGTCAACTTAACCCATTGGCTTTACCAACCATGAAATCTTTGAAGTGACCCAGAAGTTTGTACATGAAAGTAAGAAAGACGTGAGATATAACAGTGTTATCTGCCTGAAGTTGAACATCCTGATGAAGGGTACAAATAAGAGCCCGGAGTTGGTTCTGGATCATGGAGGTAGATTTAGGGGGAAGAAGAGTGGACTCATCTCCGTAACACCTGTGATATTTTCCATTGTTAACTCTCGACTTCATTTGGGAGGAGGTATTTTATATTTCTTTTCACTTCATAAGGTGATGATTTTGTAATGTTTCTTTTTACAGTAAACCTCTATAGTCTATATCAGTGTCTCTCGGGGAAATATGCATGGTCGATTACAGGCTAATTAACTTAATTAAAGTTTGGGGGTAAAAAAGTGGCCAGGTATATTGAGGTATTTGAAAACGGTACTGTGCCATCGTTCTACAAAGACACCTACATTACACCACTATTTAAAAAGGGTGACAGGGCCAAGGCAGTCAACTACAGGCCAGAATTGCTCTCACTTCGCACATCATCAAAGTAAAGTGTATGAACGTATCCTCCGTGGTGTTATGGTTGACTTTATTGAGAAAAATCAGTTACTCTGCAACAACCAGCACGGATTCCGCTCAGGAAGAAGCTGCCTTACCCAGCTGTTAAGTCACGTAGACGATACAGTTCAAGGTCTTACTAGAAATGCAGACACTGACGCTATATATTTGGATTTTGCCAAAGCCTTTGATAAGGTCGATCATCGGTTACTGCTTCTGAAAATGAAGAGATTGGTGTTTCATGAGAAGGTGGTAAACTGGATCCGATCCTTCCTGACTGAAAGGAAGCAATGTGTTGTGTTAGATGGTGTATCATCGTTTGCTGCCGCAATCCTCAGTGGAGTTCCACAAGGCACCGTTCTTGGGCCACTGTTATTCATTCTGTTCATAAATGATATGAATCTATGTGTTAACCTTAAAGGGTCTGTCATCAGATTCTTTGCTGATGACACTAGGATTCTTAAGCATATCTACAGTTTGGCTGACAAAGATGTCATGCAGGATGATCTCAACTCTGTTGTTAATTGGGCTAAGTGCAACAACATGGCCATTCATGAGGATAAGTTCGAGCTTCTTGTTCACAAGCATTGTCCAAAGAATTCCTTGTTTGATCATCCATTCGCCATCCAAGCTCAAACATATGAAGTGTCTAACGGAAACATGCTGCCAATCTCTTAGATGGACAGGATAATGTAATATTTGCCGCCAGTATCATTTTCAGAGAGGGAGTTGTTGAAAACAACTATATAGGTCTCGTGACCAGAGATTTCAAAGATAATTCTGCACGCAAATTCGAACAAACGCCAAAGTGCATTTATTTGCAGTGACATGGTATATGAAAAATAATTAGGACCCCAATGATGGCCGAGAACTGAAAAGACATATTCGAGATTCGGAAAATCTTTTGTTTGTCGTTTGACTACATTATGCACGGATATTCTATATTGGATAGTGGATATATGTACATTCTAAACTTTTTTTGAAAAAAAAACAGAAGAACGCCACACAATGGAGCTTACCTGGGGACCCAGGCTGCAGGCTATTATGTTCATTAACAATAAAGATTCGGCGGAATGACAGGCTGAGCGCCGCCCAGTAAAATGGAGCTAGCATGGTCGATCATTAATGAATATTTATTATAATCCAATCTGATTCAAATTTTGCTCCAGCAAAATAAATGTTCGTTCCTAAGTTATATGATAATCAAATGTTTTGCTGCTTTTACTTCTAGAATCTAAATACCTTAAAACTTTTAGAACTTGTAGGTATTTAATATTTTAACCAATTTCAACTCTCAACAACATAAATATCATACATTTCAGCCAATTTTACAGTATTTCCAATTCCTCGTGGGTCATGAACAAATTGACTTGATTCTAAATGGATGTCTCATTCAATGAAACTGTTACTGTAACTGTAAGTATTGTTAATAATCTGTCGTATTCATAACTGAAGCTAAGACGGGATATTACTACCAAATTTACCCAATTATCCATCCACCTCAGGAAAGAATATGTTACGCCAACTTATAGCGCTATTGGTGTCATTAAAACTTTACACATCCGACCCACCACCACCACTACTCACTCTATCCCTCCCTACCTATCATTCCGACCCGAAGCTGAACCCCTCCACTCCAGCAAGTACTACTATGGAACAAACCATGTCTTACTTGGTGGACCCGCTGCTTATTGAAGATCGGTCTCAGCTACAATTTGTTGAACTCCCCCGAATAACCTGCAAAAAAGCAGCTGAACATTTCATTAAAAATAATTGGCTGACACATTATACTCCTCAAAATAACAGCACGATGGACGTCTGCAAAATGGTGATCGATGAACACCTTCTAAGAGAATCTTTATCGTTAGTGAACAATGAATTTTCCGAACAACTGTTTGAAGCAGCGTGGTTCTGTCAAGTGGAGCCCGCGTGGTTTTGTGATGGCACTTCAGATTGCTTGACGGATGAATGCCACTGTACAGACAGGACCACTGACTTATTCTTCTGTCCAAACAGCGGAGGTTGCATCACCTTCCCCCAGTTATGTGACGGTGTTACTGACTGTGATAATGGAGATGACGAATGTCTCTGCGAAGGCTCTGTCAAAGCAACGTGCACTGGATTAAAATCTCCAAATGTTTGTCTTCTAACCAAGCACTACTGCAGGCTGGAGAGTCTGTACGGTTCAGAGTACTTCTTATCTTTAAACTGCACCATTGAAGATGTAGAGAATTTAAACTGCACTAGAACTTTGGAGAGTAAGGTGCAGTTGGAGACGCCGTTATACAAGTGTCTTGGAGAAGCATACACTGTTTTGTTTTCCAGCGCTTCTTCATCCGCGACATCAGAGTACTGTGAAAATAACTGCACCCATGTCCCGGGTTTCCTACAGGACGGCTGGGCTACGTTTTGCGAACACGTATTTTTAGGAAACGTTATTGATTTTGTTTTCGAGTGTCAGCCCAATTATACGAGCCAGGACCAATTTCACATTTCAGTGTTATGTGACGAGACTGTGGACTGTACGAATGGCGCTGACGAAATAGGATGTGCTGGTAGATTTTACTGCTTCCTAAACAGTTCACAGTCCCTAGAATGGGTCTCCGCTAGTAAAACATGTGACAATGTCAATGACTGCTCCAACGGACGGGATGAGTGTGATTCTTGTGAACGAGGACGATCAGCTAACATCTTCATAAACTCAGATATCCTGCTTTATTTGACGGGTGTGATGGGATTGTTTATGTTGGTAGCTAACGTTATACTTATAGTGAGTATCAACTGCTACAAAGGTTCACCTTCTTCAAAAGCAGGCAAGGTCGACAGACTTCTCTGTCTTCAGATATTCGCTTTTGACGGGATAATGGGATTTTACCATTGTGGCATAGTTGCAGCAGCCCTGATCCTCAACTCTAAAGGTGACTTCTGCTCTTTGAACGAAATTTGGAGATCAAGCATTTATTGTCAACTACTGGGAATGTTATTCTCGATAGCGTCACATGGGTCACTGAATGCTATAGCACTTATGAGTGTGGTACGATGTCTTAATTGTCTTTGGATGGAATACGAAAGCGAACTGTCCGCCATATATGCCATATCAGCACTATTGATCACCGTTAATGTGGTTAATGCCTTGATCCCTATTCTCCCATTTGATATCATTCAAAACATCTTCCGTACTGAAATTTTCTTCCATAATTTCAAAGATAACCCCTTCATAACTTCTAGCCGTGTAAACCTTACTTGGCTAGACTTGGTGCACGAGAGATACTACTCCAACACGACAGATCTGCGCACAACCATCAGGAACCTTAACAACATCACCTCCAACAGAAACGTGTTCAATGTCACTGATATTGGGTACTATGGCAACACCCCACTCTGTGTTCACAACGTCTTCAAGGAGCAAGAATCTTACCTGATCTACAAGATTTCCTACCTTGTTGTGCTCTCAGTCCTTCTCACAATAATAACACTCACATACTTGGCCATCATACGGAAACACGTCATATCACGGCGAGAAGTTGAGAATTTGGGTGGTGGCGGGAACAGGCAAAACGCAGAGGCACCATCCCTGGCTGTGAAGGTCCTCCTTATGATTGGCACCCAACTGGCTAGCTGGCTATCTTTTATTGGGGTTGCTGTCTACTTTCACATTGTTAGTGATAGACCTCCTTTTCTACTCTTTGAAATCCTAGTTCTAATCGTCCTGCCGATCAACAGTGCACTGAATCCCATATTCTACAGTGGACTGTACAAGAAAATTATCTCTTTTGTCTGGGTAAATTGGAGATGGTTCGTCACAAAAGTTTACCTACATTAAACCTGTTATCTACAACTTAAGCTTGTTGTCTACAATAAGCTTGTTGTCTACAATAAGCTTGTTATCTACATATTCCAATTTACTGCTAGATATTTAGTTTTAATTCTGCAATGTTAAAGACACTGTCGAACGTATCGAATTTTTCTGCCAAACCTAACAAAAGAAGCAGTGTCCATATCAAAGTGTAAAAGTGGTTCCGAATCTTCCTCGAGTTCCCTCTGAACAGCTGGTAAATCCTCTGTCATAGCCCCGATCAAGTAGGGTGTAGGGGCTGTTACTACCTGGAACAGTGCTATTTTCAGAGAGTTATAAATATACTAAATATATTAATTATCATATAATCATTTTGTTCATTATAATTACACTTTCAATTTCAAATCAACAAGACATAATAAGCTAGAACGAAAAGATGTCTCGACCAATTAGTTGAGATTGATCGGTGGAGAACAGTCAGGGACCTAAAATTTCATACGAGTCACTCCCAGTTTCTACGATTGAAAAGAAAAAGTTGGAAAAACTCATGGGGGATCACCGTAATTTAGGTTTTATCGAGCAGTATATCCCCCTGTCACGTGATCAAACCTCAATCATCTGTCTAGGAAGTATTGGGATGTAGATACACTCCCACTTGAGCGGGTATATGAGGGTAGCAAGCGAGGAGACACAGCTGGATAGTTTAGCGAGGTGGTGGTGGGAGCAGGAGATGAGGATACGACGCTCGTGGAGCACACTACCGAACAGTTCTATTACTTGTTGGACTGTGAACCATTGGAACAGTTTGTTAAGCTCCACGTGTTCCAGTCTAGCACCATCTAAAGGCCGTTCTATCTCCACGTCTTCTAGCCGACCTGAATTTATTTTGTTAAACGAAGAGGCTCCGTCTCGAATTTGTTTTCATTTCTACGTATAAATTGGTGTGCTTTTATTAAACTAATTTTAAACACGATCAGAAGATGAGTGTTATTACATACCTTTGAGGTGGTTGAGATGTTTAGCCCGCACTTTGCAGCCAGGCGCAGGGATTGGCAGGGAGATCTGAAGAGGATCTAGATAAATTTACACATGATCTGTAGAATACACTAATAAATGTCGCAGATATCTTCCATTCAATTATATGAGTGCGAATAAATAAAAACACGTAAAGAATAAAGATGCTACCAAATCAAAGAAATTAAAACAGAGACAGTAATATTAGTGACCGTGGCACTGAGGAAACCATGAACAGCAGCTTCAGAAACAGCGTGTAGTTCGGTAAGTTTGTTGAGAAGAACGTTGTACAGCTCCAATGATGCTAACTTGCTAATCACGCAGTATACCTGACAAGAGAGAGAGCGTGTTATTATACTTTATCATCATATGGACTGACAGCCCCTCCTCTATACGATTATACAAGCTCCTCTGGTAGCTCTACTCCTCACATTCAACGAGAAGTAAAACTAGAGACTATAATTATAAGTCCCTCAATACTCTGTTATAAACTACAGCGTGAATGGAATTGTTCGTTCGCGTTTTCCCCACTCTTTCATAGAATTATTGCAATAACGTTTATCAGAACAATTTATACTCAAGAGTCTAGTCTAAATACTGAGTGATAAAATGGTAGAGGAAAAGCTAAACATAAAAATAGACAATGATCGACATGAAAATCTAATTAATTTACGAACGTTTAAGTGATATTATTAAGTTATATTATTATATTATAAAGCATTAAGACTGACACCGATTATCTGCAATTGCAACGCTACCACTATAAAATCAATCGCTCAAATAAAAAAATTGTTGATAGGCCTGAGTTTATGAAAGTAACGTCAATTGATGTATTTTTGACGCTGATTCTGAATCACCCCCATGACGTCGAGTAGAAATGCTTCCCTGAGGAGTTATGAAAAAAACTGTTCTGAGGTCACGTTTTGATCACGTTTTGAACACGCGAAATAATATAAATATGAGCTCGCAATTGCATGACATCAGAAAGTTTTGTAGCACTCACAATTTATAACTATATCAGCTCCAAGTATTGTGACTTTTATTATTAACTATAGTTCTTGTAATTTATTTTTAGGACTATTTCTACAAAAAAGATCGTGATCGTGCTGACTCAAACATTTGTACATTGTAAGCGTTTTTACACTATGCGGTTTGGGGTGATCATCGTTCAAAAATATAATCGTACTTGTTCCATTATTGTAGTTGTTTTAACTTTTTTTTCAAATTTGCTTTTCAAATATTTTATATTACACAGAACGAAAAAATAAAGTCGAGAAATTGCCCCAAAATTGAATTTTTCCTGATAACATGAACTTTGTCAGTATCTGTCTCCCTTCTTAGGTGTAGTCCATCCCGATTCCCGATGCGTCTTAAAAACTCTCCTCTCCTCTATTTCTAAGTATTTATCTAATAAAAATCTTTAATGCTATAATTAGTAACCATGTCTGTCCTTGCCAGAGGCATCCTCAGAGACCAGCCAGAAGATAATCTAAAGTACTCCGCAGGCTTTTTCGATGACACGATCAGAGTCCAGGATGGTAAGAATAAGATATATGATGTGATTTAATCGAGATTTTCTGCTGATTTTTTCTTATTAGCTTATTGTATGATTTATTTGATTCTTCCAGTATTGCTTATGCAAACTTACTTCACAACGTGAACCATTTACATGCTTAAAACTATTCATTGTGCAATTTTGGTCCAGTTGACACGGCAGAAGAACCAGTCAAACCAGCCCCTCCATCTGAACCAGAACCCACATCCACCGCTTCCGTGAGTTTTAATGGCTGTTATTATGTTTATTTTTAGAATTTAGAAGGATAGGAAAATACAATATTTGCTATAGCTAACATGCTAACCACATACCTGTGGCAGTACAGTACTTTTGTCACGTGACTTAACGCGTCTACAGTAGCCGTACTGTTTATCTCCCGTTACTTCTGTTAGCACGAAGGAGTAAATGCTCGTCAACACTGATTCTCCTGGGTATAAAAGTATCACAGGGTCAATCAATGATGGGGCGATCGTTTTGGACGCCAATAAAATTCCAAAATCACTGTCAGAAGTCCAAACAAGTGTGGCTCACCTCCCCACAAGTGTTATAGGTATATCACGTTATTAATAAAAAATAACAAACCTTCAGTTATCCGCTGGGAGTCAGGGAAACAAAAGAGAGGAAGAAAAGGAGAGGGATCAGGACCACTGAGTTTGGGAAATGAGTATGAAACGTAGGGAGTAAGGTCATCCGCTCCTTCCTGGAATTGTTCTGTGTGCTATCTTGGAACTAACTAACAATGTTACTAACAGTGTTATTAACAGTGTTACTAACAGTCTTACTAACAGTCTTACTAACAGTGTTACTAACAGTGTTACTAACAGTGTTACTAATACTAACAGTGTTACTAACAGTGTTACTAACACTGTTAACGCCATGATTTTAGTTAAAACCAGCCATAACCGTCGGATTTCAGCTTCTAAAAGGGAGGTTTATGAAAATAACCAACCTGTCGTTTGAGGGAAACAATGACGATCCTATCAAAGAAAGGGATATCCAAAGTATCGGTATTACCTAACTTCTTGGCTCTTGCTAGTGTTGGTCTGTCTACTTTCTTTAGGACTGGTTTCTTTCCTTAAATGTTTACATCAGAGATGTTGCTGGCCAAGCTAACTTCAAGAAACAGATTTAAATAGAGATTGAGTACTGCACTTATCAGTTAGGTCCAAGAGTAGATACTGTTTAAAGTTCGACCAATAACCGCCTAGTCGCCCCGGCCAACCCCCCCCCCCCCCCCCCCCTCTCTCTCTCTCTCTCCCCCTCTTTCTAGATATGAAATATGTCTGTACTAACCTGTTCCGTTAGCATTGTGAGAAGTAGGTGAGGGTAGTTTGAACTGGGTGGTTGCGATACTGTTGGGTCTGGTTCTAGGTGTCACGTCCCGTCCTTTATAAAACTGGTGGGATTACATCCAGTTACTCGTCATAGATATAAATTATAAGTGTTCTTGATTGAAGTTGTTGTATTGTACAAAACATAAAGTCACTCGTGATTACACTGATCAAAAACATAAATCGTCGAGTTTCGTGGAATGCAAACCCAAAACTCTTTTTCCAGCATCTACCCCACATTCCACAAGTTGGATGGATGTAGGATAAAAAGTAAAGTATGCTGAAGTATAATCACCCGGCGGAGGATGGGTGATTCTACATGATGTGGAAGTGTGACAGGTGTAGAAACCCTTCTGTCGGCATGCTTTAGGTATTCTTCTAATGAGGCTGAGAACCGCTTGTCGGCCACGGTTTAAACAATCGGTACACTTGATTTGCAGTTATTTGCAGAATCGGTGGGCTACACTTGAATTAATTTGTTACTTAAAGTCGCTGGATACCCAGCTTTTCCTCAGTATCACATAAATCAAAAGGAATCAATTATTAAATTTAAGCTTATCAACAGAGGCAAACATGTAATTGTATATCATCAAATTCAATGCTTTTTAGATCAATTTACAACATGAAGTACAACATGAATTATCGGAACAATGAAAAGTGATTTAAAACCAACAACTCCACTGAACACTGAGTACTTACTGAAGAACGATTCATCCTTCTACAATTAACTCCTTAAAAAGCAACTTCAACCCATGATCTATAGCTGATATACAACCCAAAACTGAAAACTGTCAAGTCAGCACTAGTCAATATAATTTATATTGACTCGATACCTTTTTACTTTTATATTATAAAGGTATCGAGGTTACCTAAAAGCCAGCTGAGAGGTTGAGCACACGGGGTTAGTATCAGATTACAATATTGAGGTACTACATGAGATATTGTATCTTTACAGCGACACTCTGATTACATTACGAATGGTTCTATGCTATATTAAGACGCAATGGAATATGTATATACCTATATATAAATATAGGTTTGAGGTGGACACAAGGTTTAGGGCACAAGGTTTAGGACACAAGGTTTAGGGCACTATTTTTTTCTGCTTGATTTGTTTGTATCTCTGAAAATACAGTGGGTGTAATAATGGGCACTATCCGTCGCGGAGTCGAGTCCGCGGCGGAGCCGCCGGACTCCGAGCGGACTCCGGCGGTGCTCCGCCAAAATGTATTTACAGTGGACTCGAGTACATTTTGGCGGACTCCGAGCGGAGCCGAGCGGACTCCGAGCGGACTTTAAAGTCCGCCGCGGACTCCGAGCGGCTCCGCGGCGGCTCGGTGGAGTGTCCGCCGCGGACTAAGCCACTAGGCGGACTCAGGTCCGCCGCGGACTCCGGCGGAGTGCTTGGCGGACTCCGCCGGACCTCTCCGCCAGACTTGAATCCGGCGGAGTCCGGCGGAGCTTGGCGGAGTCCGCCAGCTCGGCGGACTCCGCTCGGAGTCCGCCGGACTCCTACAGAGTCCACTGACTTCCGACCTCCGTCTTCCGACCCTCGGCTAAATTTGTCACGTGACATACAACATAGCATTTTGCAATATTGTGGTCAGATGAAAAGGTCGCTAGTGATAAACCTTAACCATTACCCTCACAATGTCAATAGTGTACAACTCTAGTCCTAACTTTGATCCTATAATGTATAAACGTTGACCCTAACCCTCCACCAAACCGTCCGCAGCGAAATATCAATGTCATTGACTGGTCACGTGACCAAAACAATTTTTGTCATATTATCTCATCTTGTCATATTATCTCATTACATATGGGGAAGCGTTTTTAGCAAGCAAAAATACGTCGACCATCACAGGACGACGCCAGCCAGCACTCTCTACGCTCTTCGAGCTCCGATCGTCCTGTGACGAAGTAAGGACGAAGCCTGAGGTCCTCAGGTAACGGATGATGATTAATCACTCTACACTCGACTGTCACGTGACTTTTTCAACCGGTTCTCTAGCTGGTCCTGAACGACTTTTTGAAATCCTAACCCTCTAATCTGATCCCAACCCTAACCCTAACCCAATCTTTAACAAAAGCATACACTAAAACCCTAACGAGAAATTAGACTAACTTCCTTATACGGTCATATCACGTGATCGAGACAGTTTTTTGCCAATATCTCGTCAGGGGAGCATTTTAACCGTATGTCATGGGGGGTGATTCGGAATCAGCGTCCGAAAATACATATACATTGATTGAAGTTCGTTTTAACTGTCGGGGTCCCTTTTAGAACAATCTCGAAAATCGACTGTAGAGTGATTTAGCACGCTCGTCAGGTAACATCGACCACCGATTGAAAATTCAAAGATTTTTTGACATAAAGGTCAAATGTAAAACTAAAATCTTGATGTTGATTGATTGACGACGTCAATTTTTGAGCATAGCGCGAGCGCATGCGGAAAAGGACCGCGTAGCTAGTCAAGATGTTGATAAATATTTGGCTTGTGGCGCGATGTGTTGCTCTAACTATAGCCCTCTCGCTTGCAGTAGCGCGCGACCGCCGGAGGCGGAAATGACCTGGTTAGCTAGGTAAACGCGATGTGCCTTGTAGGATGAACTCCTACTAGCTGACGCCATTCGCAGCTGTGCTGCGCGCTGTACGTCAGCGATCGAAATTTATACGCGTATCCCCCGTTAAGATGTGCCACTCGACGCGCCACACAATTTTTCTCGTTGCTCGTCGCACGTCGACGAACAACGAAGCTCGTTGCGACGCGCCGCGCAATGAGCTGCCAGGCTAGGACATCGTCCTGGTCCAACAAATTTTGGCGAGCGATTTTCTCCAAAAATTTAATGAGGGCGCCGACTTCCACTCTGGCGCGCTAGGTTTCTTCTTACCCAGCGCGCGTTCCTTAATGGGATGAGGTAAAATTAGGTAAAATGAGGTAAAAATTGACGTCGTCAATCAATCAACATCAAGATTTTAGTTTTACATTTGACCTTTATGTCAAAAAATCTTTGAATTTTCAATCGGTGGTCGATGTTACCTGACGAGCGTGCTAAATTAATATATATAAATCACTCTACAGTCGATCTTCGAGATTGTTCTAAAAGGGACCCCGACAGTTAAAACGAACTTCAATCGATGTATTTTCGGACGCTGATTCCAAATCACCCCCCATGACATACGGTTAAAATGCTCCCCTGACGAGATATTGGCAAAAAACTGTCTCGATCACGTGATATGACCGTATAAGGAAGTTAGTCTAATTTCTCGTTAGGGTTTTAGTGTATGCTTTTGTTAAAGATTGGGTTAGGGTTAGGGTTGGGATCAGATTAGAGGGTTAGGATTTCAAAAAGTCGTCCAGGACCAGATAGAGAACCGGTTGAAAAAGTCACGTGACAGTCGAGTGTAGAGTGATTAATCATCATCCGTTACCTGAGGACCTCAGGCTTCGTCCTTACTTCGTCACAGGACGATCGGAGCTCGAAGAGCGTAGAGAGTGCAGCTGGCTGGCGTCGTCCTGTGATGGTCGACGTATTTTTGCTTGCTAAAAACGCTTCCCCATATGTAATGAGATAATATGACAAAATGAGATAATATGACAAAAATTGTTTTGGTCACGTGACCAGTCAATGACATTGATATTTCGCTGCGGACGGTTTGGTGGAGGGTTAGGGTCAACGTTTATACATTATAGGGTCAAAGTTAGGACTAGAGTTGTACACTATTGACATTGTGAGGGTAATGGTTAAGGTTTATCACTAGCGACCTTTTCATCTGACCACAATATTGCAAAATGCTATGTTGTATGTCACGTGACAAATTTAGCCGAGGGTCGGAAGACGGAGGTCGGAAGTCAGTGAACTCTGTTGGAGTCCGGCGGACTCCGAGCGGAGTCCGCCGAGCTGGCGGACTCCGCCAAGCTCCGCCGGACTCCGCCGGATTCAAGTCTGGCGGAGAGGTCCGGCGAAGTCCGCCAAGCACTCCGCCGGAGTCCGCGGCGGACCTGAGTCCGCCTAGTGGCTTAGTCCGCGGCGGACACTCCACCGAGCCGCCGCGGAGCCGCTCGGAGTCCGCGGCGGACTTTAAAGTCCGCTCGGAGTCCGCTCGGCTCCGCTCGGAGTCCGCCAAAATGTACTCGAGTCCACTGTAAATACATTTTGGCGGAGCACCGCCGGAGTCCGCTCGGAGTCCGGCGGCTCCGCCGGAGTCCGCTCGGAGTCCGGCGGCTCCGCCGCGGACTCGACTCCGCGACGGATAGTGCCAACCAATGCGTACTGAAACTGGTATTGGAGTACTGCGCTAGTTTTATAGGCCACAACTCTCAAGCAGAATATAATCAGATATTAGGTACGTGTTTTTGTCAAAAATAGCTCCCTTACTTGTGGTCTAAATATCTTTCATTTAAGAAAACAAACTTACTAAATGTATAACCACAGAAAAGTATATGATCATGAGAGACGATTGAAACACGATTGAAACACTTAATACACACAAGATTGTAAACACACATAGCGTACGCAGAATATAGTACGACGTATGTAGATTTCTATACGTAGACACCTTATATTATTACTTCTGAAAACCTCGCAGTACTCCTACAAATAACCTAATTTCCCATGAAAGGCCGAGAGGGCGACAAGGTGAAACAAAAGAACCAACAAATTGGAGGTTGAGTAGGGAGAAATAATCAAGCTATGGGGTTCACCAAATTTAGTTGGTTAATTACTAATACTATTGCTCAGTACTATATGATGGGGAGTGGAAGAGTTTGATAACTAGTAAGGGTTATGATGTATTTACCTGAGGACCCCAGGCTATTATGTTCATTAACCGAATAGAGATTAGGCGGAATGACAGGCTGAGCGCGGCCCAGTAATGATGTATGAGTAATGAGTACATACACAATTATACAGAAGTATGCACTAAACTGTAAACATGTACAGAAACAACAAATTGTATCTAGAATGAGTTGGCCACAGCAAATTATTTTAGTATTACGTAAACAATAACATTCAATATCAATATTTTATATTACTTCCTAGAATACCATTATATTACATACACCAAAATACAAAATTGTGATAAACATTTTACATAATTAATGTTTTACTTTTATTTAATGTCGCAGAAGAGCCGACATATTCATTATTCATCTCAACTCTCAAGTTCGTCGCGTGGATTTTAGTCACCATGTAGTGACTAAGTGACTTACACCCTATGGCCTATAGTTATACTAGCGAGAGTTGGCTACGGCGTGTTTTTCGAGCGTCCTTATGCAACACGATCTCGTGATGTTAAGATGTTATTACAAATACAACACCTGATCATAAATCTCAGACCCTTTAAAAATAAATCCTATATTATTGTTTCATCCGTCTTGATCGTACTCGTAGACATGGAACCACGGATAAAAATTGAAACAGCTGAGAGAATGAGATTGTACCTGAGGTAGCTAGACTGGTTTACTGTATACTTAAAGTGCTATATTCCGATTCTGCAGACAACCACCGCCTGGCTATATAGAAGACGGAAGAAATTAAAAACTTGTTCCAGCGGTTCCGGTGCAGTAGGAGTTGCACTTTGCAGTTTGTCGTCCTGGCTACAGTCCAAAACTCTGTATAGAACTATAGTAAGGTCATCGTCAATCGTACGTTTTTAATCTGATTTTGACAATCATGACACAGACAACATATGTAGATAGTAATATAGTAAATCGATAATTTGTAAAAAGACTGAATTTTACCAACGGAGGATCACTACGAACATGAATGAATCAACTCCAAACTCACAAAACTCAACCACAACTTCACTTTAAGTTTAAGTAGCTACTTTTTACATTTTAAATTTAATCCCACCTGTTAAAAAAGTTAGACGAGAGCACAGATCACAGGAGATCAGTTGGACGAGCTCCAAGGTTCGCCTAGCTACCGTATCCTGGTTATATAATACACGCGATGTCTCCTGAGCCCTGGGTCCTGGCGACTCCGGGCCCTGGGTCCTGGCGACTCCGGGCCGTTACATAGCATACACCGAGGAGAGTTGGACAACTATTCATGATTCTTACGTAGGCGTAATGAGGACGTGACTTGTATGATTGAATTTGATGGCACTGAACCAATGGTTAATGATAGGACCAGAATCACGCGATGTTTGTGGACTACTGCCAAGAATATCAAGCTGAACAGGTACAACCAGGTTTTTTTAGAGAGGATAAATGGGATCAGTTGATTGCCTCGAGCATTAAAACAGTTTTGATCCGGCTTACGTTTTGCATTTAAGCATTTACTGATACCTCTTTGATTTGATCAAACCAGGTACTTGAAAATGGTCATCTTCCCTATTCACCAAATTGGTCTGGTGAGCTTCACTATGAAAAATTTTCGGATTTTTTAATGATTTTGAATACCTTCGAGCGTTAATTTTATGGTATCCGTTCAAAATCATGTTCGTTTAGCATTCAGGCAGTGACTGGTTAATCCGTTCAATAACGTCCGATAAGGTAGGTAATTTGTTTGCAGTTTACAGCTGTTATAAGTGTAAGTGTAAGTAATAACTAACAAGTTGTAAAATGTCATATCTGAACAATTGAAAATGGAATATGCAGACATGGCATGTAGCACACACGACCCAACTCATTGTCCAAGTTCATGCACAGTTCACACGTTTGGTCGGCTGTTTCATGTGACTCTTTCGGTTAAGAAGCGTCATATGTCACCTCCCATCCCATCGTAAACGAACTCGTGATATAAGGCTAATTCAGATGTCACAATTACTTTTGCTATACGTGACCATATTGATATATAATTATATTATGCCGGTTAATTTATTGCCAACTATATAAGTATAACTGTATATGCTTGTTATTTCCGCAATTGGAGTTTCTTTTGGACTCACGCCAGCTAATCGGGTTGCAACCTACTGAACGATGATTGTGGTGAATAATTAATAACACCAATTCTGAATACATCGTATCTTGCTGTATAAGTATTAAAACCATGAATGGCTTTTATTGTCCATTTTGCAGGCCTTAGTAACTGTAAAGCGTTATATCGTAAATTAAAATAAGAGATAATAAACTTTTAAATTTAATATTACTCTAAAATTAAAATAGGCCCCAAGGAAACGAAAAATATTATAAAGGAGTCTCCATCATATCTGGTTCTTAAATTAAAGGTTTAAAACGTGTGTTCTGTGTACGTACCACCAATATTGTGACTTTAATTTTACCAAAACCCATAATCATGGGTAGAGTGGACCGCTGCCAGTGTCTCTCTTTCCAAAACAAAAGGAAATGATATTAATTTGATTGACCGTTCTCAAATGCAAAATGATACCGAGAATGAAATCGGTCGCTCGCTTTTCCCATTCATTCACGGCTTACGAATTGTAATAATGAATAAGTTTCGATTGATTACATCAATCAGATGCTGTAAAAATCTCTTTGGGTTGCGTTCGGGTCGATACCTAGTATTTCGGGGTAAGGGTGGTAGTTATTACTTATTGAATTAGCTGAAGTTTATTGAATCTTTATTGCCGAGTACAGCTGCCTTTGGGTAGTTCTTCTTAATCTATTACAATTGTAAATGAATGGGAAAAGCGAGCGACCGATTTCATTCTCGGTATCATTTTGCATTTGAGAACGGTCAATCAAATTAATATCATTTCCTTTTGTTTTGGAAAGAGAGACACTGGCAGCGGTCCACTCTACCCATGATTATGGGTTTTGGTAAAATATCATCTCTTTTTGATTATAATGTCAGGGTACTTTATAAAGTCGAAATATAAACTGATATCTTCATTAATAAGGAGGAAGTTTCAACGATTTCGAAATTTTTCCTTTAAAAACATTTCCTTGTGTTTAGGTAAGCATATCGGTCGATCACTGACTGAATATGCCACTTAATACTCATTCAAGTTGGCATTAAATTCATATATAATGACATTAAACTGTGGTGGCAAAGCAGAATTTGTTGGAAATCACGAATGAGCAAAATTCTCACCTTTCGCACGTGCAAACTTTGAGCGGACGTTGCGTGCGCATCCGATATTGAATCGCCGTAAATTTTTGCATGTAATTGTTTTATATATAGTTTGATAAGCATGCAAAGTTTCAAAGTATTTCAAGAAGAACTGTAATCACAACGGCACTCTAAAGTTGACAGAAAATGACGAAAACAGCAATTTTCAGTGATTTTAGCGATTTTCTATCAATTTGGGCGTGTCCCAACGTGTGCAACTTTTCGATTTTCAACTTTAAAACTAGCCTATGACACAATTTATACCTATAGGAAGCAGAACTGAGCTCCACAACCCAAGGCATGGCCCAACACCAGAGAATACTAAATCGCAAAATTGACGTTTTTATAAAATAATTCTTCAAAAAAGCACAAACTTCAATGACGAATATCTTTATGAAGGAGCAAGCTAGAAAAACTTTCCGGTAGATTTTCAGAATGCTTGAACAATTATCTAAGATGAAAATTTCCTCAGATTTTGAATACAATTACTTTTTAATGGTGTAAAATCAGTTTTAAAAGTTATTACTTTGTCAAAAATCAAGTTTTAAAAACGGTTAACTTGATGACGTCATCAAGGGGTGTTCATGACGTCAAATAATTTGTTTATACAATGTAAACTAAAGTGTAAACAATTATTTTCAAGACCTGTGGTAGGAAATGGCTGTATCTTTTATACTTTTGAATCTATGGACAATTAAATACAGGCTACAATTGACTGGCAAAGCGTCTATCCCTGAATATATATATATATGTATATATGTATCACGACAATCTATCGTAAAACAGGGGTTCTAGAAAACCCATTTCCCGATGCTCCTGAAACCTGAAACTTTTTTTGCAGTCGATTTGGCCACCGTCTAGACGCCCTGAAAAATTTCAGATCTCTAACTCAATTTTAACATGGTTTTTAAGGCACCTGAATATGGCGATTTTGGGTTTTTTACCGAATTTCGTATAACAGTGCTGGCGAGTATTTTATGCAAATTTCTTAAAAATCTCAACATAACTATTTTTATTTCTGTCATCTTTGACATCAAATTAGAATGTTTTGAACTAAAAATAAATCTGCTGATCGACTTCCGATGAGTCTTAATGCCTGAAAAACTCCTGCCGGAGGCGGCGGCCTTCGGCCGGAGTGCACGCTTCGCGTGCACGAAAGAGGCTTGTAACGTGTACCAAAGGGGGTATAATAGTAAAGGGGGTATAATAGTAAAGGGGGTATAATAGTAAATGGGGTACATAGTATACCCACAATAAATGCAACGGTCGTGCTTGCCAGCACTGTGATATACTTTTGCAACTTCAGTTGGATCCAGATTTTACCACAATGGGTCTTGAGGACCCCTCGGAGATTTACAGACCGGAACCCCCTCAATTCGAACTGGACAAAGCAATGGAGAACTTCAGGGACTACGAAAACTTGGAGGGGGAAATGATAAGAGTCAGGGATACGTACTACGATATGCACAAGAACCAGACTCATCAGTTTGCTTGTGATCAGGTACATTGTGATCAGATAAATCGAATATTTTAATTGATGTCTTCTGTCAACTACAAGTAATACAAAATGTGCATGATATTCACAACCGAAACTCCACGATCGAACTTCACGCAACTGCACTGTTCTACCATCCCATGATTAGTCTGTAAAATAATGGACCCTATATCCAGCGAGAAAAGTACAGGTCAGGAATAATGGGGAAGCACACGATAATGGAGATGATGGACGTGGTGGCTAAACTAGTGGATGAGAGTGACCCGGACACCTCGCTACCTAATGATATACACATGTACCAGGTATAGTAGGAGAGGGGGAGGGAGGGGAGAGGGGGAGGGGGTGCATAACCTGGACAAGCTTACTTTACTTTATAAAACCTAGTTTGGTCTGAAGTTCAATTTTATACATATTAGTAGATTTTTGGCAGTATTACAAGATGAGGTCTCAAGTGATTTGCGAGAATCGAACTTAATGAACGTTTTCTGCAGACAGCTGAGAGAATAAGAGAAGCCCATCCAGACCAGCCATGGTTTGCTCTGGTAGGTTTAATCCACGACCTGGGAAAAGTGCTGGCCCTACACGGTGAACCCCAGTGGGCAGTGGTGGGAGACGTCTTTGTTACCGGCTGCCAACCTGGATCCTCAGTCGTCTTCGGATTACCCAGGTATTTTCCGATCCGGGTTGCAACTTAGCCGTAAATCTCCCAAGTCCTTTGAAATTTGATTCGAAAACGTCAAAATTCTACTGTCTTACCTGTAACATTAGTGATAGTAAACATGTAGTAGACGTGAAAACTAGAGTAAAAATTGACTAGTCACTCGTCAACTTGTACACATTGCACATGCGACTGATGATATCGCTGAAAGTAAAAAACGAATCTAATATATTATCGAAAATCTCAGTTTCAAAGGAAACCCGGACATAGCAGATCCGCGCTACAACACCAAGTACGGGATCTACAGTCCGAACTGTGGACTGAACGAAGTGGTGACATCTTGGGGGCACGACGAATACATGTATCAGGTTCTTACCAGGAACAAGGCCACTATACCTACTGAGGTTGGTTTCTTAAAGTCAGTCAACCTAATATTAATTACCGTAATACTAATATCAGGTATGTTGGTATTTAAGATTTAGATGTTATTTCTAACTCGGCTATAGACTTTACTTGGATCAGATACCTCTGATGTTTTAGGAAATAGGTCATTGATAGCATAAGGAGAATAGCTATAGCTCATAACGCTGAGTTTGTCACAACTCACAGTCCATAGGGGTCGTTCACATATTACGTAATTAATTTTTGGTCAATTTTTCCGTACTCAATTTTACACATAGCTGTTGTGTATCAGTGTTCTTCTCAATAATATACTTCAGGACTATAGTATTATTCTTTTCACAGGGACTGTACATGATACGGTACCATTCACTGTATCCCTGGCATCACCATGAAGACTACCATCACCTTTGCTCTGACATCGACATGACCATGCTTCCCTGGGTCCAAAAATTCAGGTTAGTCGCATAATTTATGTGAGTTCAACCTAATCAACCTTTAAAATTCTTGGCAACTAAATTATCGGTTAAAGGACCAGTTAACTGAAAAATTTGTAGTCTCCAATTTGGCTAAGATTTAAATCAGCTGTGACAAACTGGTAAAGAATCGTATCGCCGAAAGAACCAATTCTCTAGCGTACGTGTAACGTGTGTTATTGCAATAATAAGCTGTGGCGTCGTGACGTCATAAAGTCCCTCAGTGCGCGCTTGCATAGCGTAATACATTGCAAATGTTTATCATCGTCAATAAAACACGTGTAACTCACTCAAATTTTAGAATTATGACTATTACCCTAGTTCTCCAAAATCCTTATAGTTTTGGCTATCATCCTAACTAAAGGAATAGCTGATTGTATGTACAGTGCTCACGTCATGATTTTAAACAGTGACATAATTTCTTGAACAGTGGCGGGTGAATGTACGGTTAGAAAGTTTCTGCTATTACAACTTATGTCATATAATGTAATAATTTTGGATTGTTTTCATTGCTTAATTACACAAGCAGGGAGACTGTACCGATTATTTTCCCCAGTCCATGAAACTCTAACGAATTTAGAAAGGATCTAGATAAGTAGGAGTTTGTTCAATTCCGAGAGCAATTATATTTATATCATAGCGGAATTTCTAACTTTAATCCACATGCGTCAGCCAGTACAGGAGACAAGAAGTCTGGCTACTTTACGGCCGTTCCTCTGGGACCATTAGTAGAAGTAGCTTCTATCAGAACAGTGCCGTGGGAACAGAATTCCCGCCAAAATACCAGGTCTACCAAATAGTAATACTGATTGGTGTGTACGGTGTGCGGTTTGTTTTGAATTCTACTTACGGCTTACCTAGTTGTTATCCTAATTGCATTATCATCGGTACATAACATAAATAAACTACTGGTAAGTTTAAATACCAAGTGCAAACGTGTTCAGTCAATCGACCCACTGAACAACTATAGAATTTCCAAGACCCTATTATTGTTTGGCCATATATTACGGCACGATCGATTGTTAGATGGCTAAACGACCAACGTTAATCTATACAATTCTAAAACTATGAGCTAGCACTTTAATCTAAAAATACACTTTTTATATTACTCCTGATTTTTACATTTCACGTTAAACATTGTCGCCACAGGTTGATCATGGACACTAACAGCTTAATTTGAGATAAATGACTTATGAGTTTCTCTAAAGTTAACTCTAAAGTTGTGTAGTCCAGTCATTTATGGACATTTATGGAAATGAACCTGCAAATGTTCAAATACTCACGAAACTTTGCACAGACCTTCCTGAAGGTATGAATAAACGATTTTCGTTTGGAGACATTTTTTGACCGTGGAGAAACCCCAGGAGGGCCACGCCCATATTGACCCAATAACGTAACCGACCCCTTGCTTCTGAAGGTCGTAGAGACTTCTAAATAGGTTTTAACCAAGCGGCATATGCATGTTTATATAGGAGTTACTGAGCAACACATGGCCTAAAATCCTTACTTTTCGAGAAATTTGCCAAAAACCATTTTGGGCGTGGTGCTGAGCCCATTTTCGATAGGATCGTGATAGAGTCTTTAGACAGGGTGCAAAAGAACCGCAATTAGCATATTAATATATGACTTACGAACAAACATATGCCTTAAAGTGCTTACTTTTTCAGTTATTGGCGAAAAACTGATTTTCGGTTCCAGAAATCATGCTAAAATATGAGCATCTCGTAAATTGGGCTATGAAGGCCCTACAGATTTTTGAATGGGTGCAAATTGTGCAGAATGGCCATGTTTATATACAACTTATAAAGCAACATGTACCCTAAAATACTTACTTTTCGAGTTATTTGGGGGAGAAACATTATATTGTGTCCATTTTCTACCTGTAAAATACAGTCTCACGAGCTACTCTGTGCGCGCAAGGGACTTTATGACGTCATCGCCAAAATAATACAAACGCTAATTACACGCGTTAGAGAGCAGTTAGAGATTTAGGAATTTCGACTCGTTGCTTAGTTAGCTATTTGTCACAATCTGTCAAAATATGAGGATAACTTTTTTTTCAGTTAACTGGTCCTTTAATTATAAACAGAGAAGCTCGCCTGGTTGAAAAACTTTCGAGATAATGCTCTGATTGTTATTATACTTTCACTTTCAGTTCGTTTGATCTGTACTCCAAAGGAGCAGAGATACCCGATGTAGAAGCAGTTAAGCCGTTCTACGAAGATCTGATAGACAAATATTGCCCCGGTAAGCTCCTCTGGTGAAATAATCATGCCCAGATATTGGACAAGCTCCTTTGGTGAAAGATCGCGAGATTTTACGATTTTAACGCTCTATTATCTATGACTATACTCTATTACCTGGGGACCCCAGGCTTCAGTGTTCAATGTTCATAAACACTGATGATATGGCGAAGTGACATGCTGAAGTGACTTTAGCGTTTTATCAAACAGGTTCGAGACATTTAACACGAATCAACGTATTTGAGTTAAAGTGTTCATGCAAAGATTCAAGTGTATATATATATATACAAGACACAAGTGTATATATATATACAATAGTGCATATATGCAATAGCTTTGCTTATCACTAGAAATCACTTTAAGAATGTGATCAGTGTTCATTTGATGTTTAGACCAGAATAAATTGTAATTTTAAGTTTAACGTAATTTTGATTTGTATATTAAAGATGGTATAATATTGTATATTGAAGATTCTCAAGATAATAATCTATGAATGTGTCAGCTATTTAGTTGTGAAATGATGGAACCTATAACGCAAATAAAAAACGCAATATTATAAACCGTTAAACTAGAATTTGTATGTGTGATAATTATAAAATTACAGCTAACAATCTAAATATTATGTTTATTCAAATCATGCTCTATTGTACTCTATCTAGTAAAATGTTCAACCCTAATCTCATCTCAAACCGAACACACTTTATTGTCAAAGAAATCCACTGAAACGTATCATTTAATATCGTTTATGACTGGTGAGAGCCAAAGTTTGGAAAGTTTTATCAAGTTAAATGTGACTTTAAAAAGCAAACTTTTGTCTGAATTAACGAACAATTGAACTCTAAAAAAACTTGCTGAAAACGGATAACTAAATTTTATAAATGATCAGAAAGAAAATCATATCAACCCTAACGACACATGGGCGTATCACATTTGGTCAATATGGTGTGTCTCTAATCCCACAAATTCTTATTGGTAACCAAAAAAAGCAGCTTAATTATAATTTGTTTCAAAAACCTTTAAATTTTCGGACACCGAACTCCAATCCAGCTAGACCTGATAAAATTGAAACCGAAGATAAATTCCGGAAGATTAATGCAACCAATGGATTCCCGGAAAAATTTTGATTTACTTGGTTTTAGACTGGTTCGCGGTTCGAGGCTTATAACTGTACCCCCTGAAATATGAGAAAATCGACCAAATAAGATACGCTCTGTCCAACACCGACACACATAAAAATGAAATAAAATCTTAAAAATAAACGATCAAATTGTTGTATTGTACATTGACGTAAAATTTTCAAGCAAAATGTCAGTTTTGTCACATTCAAGTCATTTCTACATCATCTTCACAATTGTGTCTTGCACTTAAAAGTAAAGCATTTATTTGTTAACGAAAATTCCTCCGGTTAAACATAAAATGGGTTAATCAGATAAGTCATTATTATAAAGTACAAGAAAATATCACAGTCACGTGCTACACGTGTTAATAACACGTGACAACATCAAGCACATTATACCAGTGATCATCCCACAAGGAACGTTTATTCAACATTTATTAGAAAAGATCTGACGAAAGTCTAATTTACGAATAATTTTCCACAGTTACATTTACTAAAATTCATCCTAATTATGTGGCTGCTTGATTCCCAGAATGACACGTTGTTTTCCTGAATTCTCTTATTATAAGGTGATGGTACAAACTCTCTCATTAATTAAATTGTCAACTAAAGCGCTCTTATCACATAACCGAGCGACGTTAATATAAAAGTAAGCGTGGTAATGGGAGATTAGATACGCTGCCCTAACACAACCACTCCGAAATATAGTGGCTAGATAATGGTGGCATAGAGGTTATACGTAATCGTCCATTACCCCAAGTAAGTTTAATTGATCTATCACTCAATTAACCACTTAATCACTTAATTTCGTTTTACTACACGGCCTCTTCTTTGTTTAACAGGAGAGGGTTGATGTACTCGAACCCGTCAAACTCGCTCTGGTCTATCCTAGCAAGTTCTTCAGCGTCATCTGGAGTGAGCTGCACTGTTTCGTCTGTGAAGATGTTGTCGAAGTTTGCGAGATCGTCTTCAGCGGTGAGAGGAGGGATGTAGGGTGGCAGCACCTGGAAATAAATAAATTTGAGATATTAAGTAAGAGGGTTTGCCCTGAAGTTGGATCAGTTAATCAATCCAATATACTACCACTATACTACCACCGTCACCACAAAATATATATAATAAGCCCCATAAATCAACCCTTCAAACCTGTCTTTGTTCTAAGAGATCCCAGTCGAGAACATTGAAGAAAGGATGTTGTTTTATCTGGTTAAATCCCTGCTCCTTGTTGCAGCCCAGCCTCTCGTCAGGATCTCTCCTCAGTAAGTATTTCAGCACGGAACCAGCTTTCACGCTCAGTGCCCGGGGAATTCTCACTGGCTTTGTCAGGATACACTGTAAAACGGTTAAATCTTTATGAAAAACAACACAGATAATCCTGTCATAGAGCGATCTGAATAAATGCCAAAGGGGAATAAAAGCAATAGAACTTTGCAGAGAGAACTTGATTAACAAATTTCATGGCTCATAAATAGTTTAATCTGTTTTGAACACATTCAGAGTTGAGTTTAAAAAACAAAATAGCTATGAGACCCACCTGGAAAAGTAAGTTTTCACTCTCCTCAGGATTGTCTGTTGGTTGATTGTCGACATTAAAAGGAGACCTACCACACAGCATCTCGTAAAGAAGCACCCCTAATGCCCACCAATCAACACTGTAACCGTACTGGCCACCCTTCAATACCTGCAATTAATCGGGGAGTTGGAAACGGGTCAAAAGTTGAAAAATTTTAAACCCGGCAGTACAGTAATGAATTCTGTTATTAAAACCAGAAGTTCAGCTGCATGATTCGTACCTCGGGTGCTATGTAGTTTGGAGTACCACAGAACGTGTTTGTTGTTTGATCAGTTTCATTACATTCTTTGCACATTCCTGAAACAGAATTAGTTCAAATTCACGAGAATAAAATTTGACTCGGGCTACGGTTAATCAGCGTAATTTTAATTTTGAGTGATATCATTGATCTGTGATCATAGGTAATACCGTGAAATGAAATGCTCCAAGGTCTGTTCTGATAAATTACGCGCTTTGTGCGCGCGGGCGCGGCGCAAAGAAAACACAGTAATTGCTCTCAGTAAGAGACTTTTTGCGCATTGGTGATGATTTTATGCTGAAATTGTGTACTTTAGTAGACCCTTTCATGCATATTTCGAATTCTTTAGGCAGATATCAGATTTCCGCGATTAACGAACACGGACGTTAACATCGAACATAATAATCTCAACTTAATTGAGATCTATCATACACAGCTTACGATTTTAGAGGAGGTGAAAATGGTTTATCACGAACTCGCTAATAACTCACAGTTTCGTGATAAGAATCCTGACGGTTTTAAACTAATTCCACTGAAATAATTCTGTAACCGCTTTCCAAAACCATGCATTTCATTTGTTGATGATCATGTAGTATATTGATGTGATCATGTAGTATATTCATATATTGGAGTTTTAATACTTTCAACACTACTATATAACAAATAATTTGAGGCTTATGTCTTTATGTCACTGAAGATAACGCCTTGCAACATTTTTGACGATAGCCTGTAAATTGATAGTTTGATCTCAGTATTTACAACAAATCATCTAGTTTGATTGATTCAAAGGGAGAATTAAATTCCTCTATTCATATATTGAGTATCTAGTTTTGGATTATATCGTGAGGCCAGCCGCTTTGATATCGGCAATCTTTATTTTTTATTCGGATTGTTAATATGAGCGGGATAAAAATGCTTTATTTCATTTCATTTCATTTCATTTCATTTCATTTCATTTCATTTCATTTCATTTCATTTCATTTCATTTCATTTCATTTCATTTCATTTCATTTCATTTCATTTCATTTCATTTCATTTCATTTCATTTCATTTCATTTTATTTCATGATGTCAAAAATAGTAGAGGAAAGAAAAAACTGATTGTTAACCGTTAGATGCTTGTTTTACATCAAACATTTCAGTTTGATTTTAAAATATTTTCAAGAGAGAATTTTATGGGTGCCATAAATTTGTTGAAAACAAAATTGGTGAGCAATCATTCGTGATTATGATAAAACATCGATGATCGGTAACGTTTTATCATGAATCAAATTGTCTGTCCACCAACTTCCATTGTTTCAATGATATGTCGACAAATATTTGATATATAATAGCTAAGTTTTAATCTACGTGATATTGGGAGTAATGCCAGATAATACATGTTTAAATATATCAGCTGATAACGTTTGATATACTGCACAACTTGTGGGATAGTCAAGTGGTGTGACGTCACCGCAGTATTATATCATATTATAAATCAAGAGGCTTGCATATAATGAACATATTGACACGGGTGCAGAGTTGAGTTGATTATATCATTTATTATATCATATTATATCATAATATTTTAATCGCGATGTGGTAGTAAAATACCATTAAACAGTATTTAAAAGCATCATGTGTTATTAAAGATCAAGAGCTCGATAAGAATAACGCTACTGAATGCTGGAAGTGTTGTTTTTACAAGTGTAGGACTACGTTTGGTATTTTCTGATCGTGCCAATTTTTCTTATCCTGGAAATAATATCATCAGCTCTACCGATTTGTCAACATTATATTCCCCAGTTTTATGCATGACAAAAGATGTTTTCAATAACCCGAGAATAACTGAAAAGGACCAAACGTCATAACGTTAAAAGTTAACCTGAATGGGTCAAAACCTAGATCAAGATGTCTAAACTCTTAACATTTCTTTGAAAAGTAAAATACAGAGTATTACGTCCATGCTATTGTATGGATTTCACGACTTGAAGATAGTTGTGTACTCTACAAGATACTGTGTGATAGGTGTTGATAGAGGTACTCCCTAGAGACACACTTGATGACAGATGACTTTATACTCAGTAAATAGGACTGGGTTGTTGTTATGCCTCAGAACGAGGTTAATTCTAGATCTGTTAACTTTACTTTGATTTGATTTCCTTCTGCTCCATTTATTATATATTTGATATGCTTAATCTTTATTTTCTAACTTTAACAGGTAAACTATGTCAATGTAAAATATATTTACCAAAAATAAGGACATGCTTAACGTTAAGTAATTATAAGAGCAACCTGGCCGGCTATTTATGGTTATTTATGTGTGAGATTCGGCTGTGATAAGACTTTGGCTGCCACAAAATGTTAAAAACTAACCGTAATCAGTGAGCTTGATGTGTCCCTCATTGTCTATGAGAACATTATCCAGTTTCAAATCTCGGTATATAATGAGATGTTCGTGAAGGTAGTGCAGCGCGCACGAGATCTCCGCTGCATAGAACCGAGCGTGGTCTTCTTCTAGCCTTTGTAGCTGAAACACAGAGGTTAGACTACTTACTTTCTACTGGTTTAAAAGTTTATTATTCATTATTCAAGTACAGGGTGGCCCATAAGTGACTACCCACACGCAACCTCTTAATAACTCACGTAATTCGTCTCCAAATTGCACCAAAATTTCAGAGATTATAGATATGGGTCAAACTTAGATTTCCTGAAAGTTTCGTAAGCCACACCCAATTACAGTGGGCGTGGCGTGACACTCCCTCTTTTTCACTATTGTCTTCATAAAATGAGAACGCTTTAAGCTAAGAACTCAACATTTTTTGCACACATTTGGCTTGATAATTGAAAACGTTTCCAAAAGTTTCAAGTTCATTGGTTAAAATATGGCTGAGTTATGACCATTTTAAAATCCATCGGATATGTGATCCGAGCACTCAGTCAGTGATATTTGCACTCAATTAGTGATCTCGTCACCCAATCTGATCAAGAGTAAAGCGTTAGCGTGTATTAATGAGGTTCATTAGGCTTTGATTGGATACCGACGTAAACTTGATCTTGTGATGAATGTCAAAGCAGCTTTTCCGGCAAGGGGGTGGTCGGTTGAATTTCATCTGAAATTGTCGTTTAATCTGAGGGTAGAACTCCCCATTTTCTTTATTCAGGTAGACGAACAATCGTTGTTCTGCAGTAAAGGGATGATAGTGAACCATTTTGATTGTAAGGAACCTGTGACTAGCAGGGCTAACAAGCCCTGAAATGGTGACACCACCATAAATTCGTGTGATAGCGTTTTAGGTGCTGTCAGCTGTATAGGCCGGCCCATAAGCAGGCTGCAACCAATCAAGCGGTGCATGTGAGCCAAACAGGCCATTAACCAAATGACGAGATCACTGACTGAGTGCTCGGATCACGTATCCGATGAGTTTTGAAATGGTCATAACTTAGCCATATTTTAACCAATGAACTTGAAACTTTGGGAAAAGTTTTCAATTATCAAGCCAAATGTGTGCAAAAAATTTTGAGTTCTTAGCTTAAAGCGTTCTCATTTTATGAAGACAATAATGAAAAAGAGGAAGTGTCACGCCACGCCCACTGTAATTGGGCGTGGCTTACGAAACTTTCAGGAAATCTAAGTTTGACCCATATCTATAATCTCTGAAATTTTGGTGCACTTTGGAGACGAATTACGTGAGTTATTAAGAGGTTGCGTGTGGGTAGTCACTTATGGGCCACCCTGTAATTAGTTATTGGATTGTGGATTGTGGATGAAGTTGACCAGATTGACACCTTGAAACACTTAAGTCATAATGACGAATATTCAAGTTAATAACATGGAAATTGGTCTCATGTTATGAAAATATAACACTAATATCGAAATTAACAAGTATTTGTTGACGGTTGTTGTATAAAAGAAGGTAGTTTTACCTTCTGCATGTGGAACATCATGTCACCACCATTCACAAACTCAATTACGAATATTATTCTGCTTGTCGTTTGGAAACACGAGTGAAGTCCAACCTGAAAGATGAAAAATATGAAACTAAAAGCTCGAGCGAGGAATATTGGGGGCCGAGGGATGTCATCATAATTTTCGCCAGCGAATTATGGAATTTTTAAAATTGATCATTACTTGCACTGCTATCATAAGATAACGCGATAATGTTCATGTTCCTCAGAAACTATCAGTGTATCAAGTTATGTAAATATCATTTATTGCCTACCAAGAATGGATGATTCGAAGCCTGCTCGAACACATTCTTCTCGGTTTGTACCCACTCAATATCATCTTCATCGTCAATTATTGACTTCTTTATTATCTTCATCGCGTATATCTTTTTAGATGACTTTAACTTTACCATACATACCTGAACAGATGCAGTTTATAACTAATACTATGATAATTCTTTCGTTTCTTGACGAATAAACTTTTAAAGGTAAAATAAACTAAGAATAAGTATTTAAGATACCAGTAGTTGTGTCACTATTGAGTATTGGTGACACACCATCATTTACCGACTACAGATAAACAGAAGTTATAAACCGCACAACTGACCTTAGCGTAGCTACCCCTGCCAATGACTGCTAACAAGTCAAAGTGATCTAGTGTTATTCCCCCAGTTTTAGGTAAGATAGATTTGTCAATAATAGGCTCGCGTCCAGGCTCCCGGTTATCTACATCAGTGTCTAGTATGACCGGGTGATGGGTTGGGTAACCACTACATGGCTCTGTGATGTACCTGGGAGGGGAGATAGTAGTCACAAAGTAGTCAGTATCATAGTCACACAAATCTCACAATGTAGTCATACAACAGTTTCGATAATTCACGCTGAAGTCAAAAATATTCACAGCGTAGTCATGATATCTTCACACAGCAGCCACAATATAGTCACGCCTCAGTCACACAGTAATCACGTATATTTGCGCATTAAAACAGGAATAACTGTTATTATTTATTTAGGGACACAATCACACAATTTGCAGAATCTGAGATAATTAGTCTTGAATCTGAGATAATTAGTCTTGAACCGAAATTAATGTGCTGGCTTTACCCTTGTTGCCACAGAATATTGCTGTGATGTTATTTTAAAGCCCGAGGACCCTACATAAAAAGGTAATTTCCTTGCAGCAAAGACGTATGGATTATACTTCGATCACAACTTGGTAACATAAGCCAGAACCCAACACAATGTAACTTACAATTTGGTAACATAAGCCAGAACCCAACACAATGTAACTTACAATTTGGTAACATAAGCCAGAACCCACCACAATGTAACTTACAATTTGGTAACATAAGCCAGAACCCACCACAATGTAACTTACAATTTGGTAACATAAGCCAGAACCCACCACAATGTAACTTACAATTTGGTAACATAAGCCAGAACCCACCACAATGTAACTTACAATTTGGTAACATAAGCCAGAACCCACCACAATGTAACTTACAATTTAGTAACATAAGCCAGAACCCAACACAGTACTCTAAACACCGCCTCAATCAGCCGATACATGGTATAAAGCAGCTCAATATTTACACAAGTCAGATCTCAGAGCTCGTAGAACTGAGACAGCCCACACAAGGGATCAGAGGCACAGACACCACAGATACGTCACGTGATGAGTCACGTGATCTGATGAGTCACGTGATATGATGAACGCAACTCGAAGAGCCCGAAAGAGATTTGTCGTGGTTTTACAGTAGCTCAATAACGATATATCGTGATATTACCAAGATCGGTTGCAACAAGAAGCAATGTTAACTAGTTGTACAGAAAATACATGCAGCACAAAGCCGTTGTCAGGAGCAAAATTACAGCACGAAATCGGAGCAAAAGTAGGTAGGAGGTACAGGTTTGGTATGTCAGCTATGTGGGGTGTAGACTTTATCAACACAAGTACTCAAGATCACGTAAGTAGTGCACAGTACAACATGTGAATTAACTGGATACCCAACCAAAAGTCGGTAGGTTCCACATAACTTCCAAGTTCCATGTAACTTCTCTCAATCAGAAACGGGTGTAATTATTTAACTGACAGGAAGGGTAAAGTGTAAACGGCTTGAATGCACAATGTCTATTGTCTCACAAGAATTGTAACCACTCCAACAAAGGATCTACATAAAAATAACCAAACTGTCAAAACAATTTGAGTTTGCAAAATTGTTTGCAAAATTGTTTGCAAAATTTCAGAACCGAAATTTTTATCCTTGGTTAGACCTAGAACTGATTATGGCCAAGATAAATAGAGTATACTTCTGGGTTATTTCATTATCAGGGAATTTGGTAATCTAGCTTAGCACAATTGGGGCACAAAATTGAAATTCCTGGGGTACACTTGGGGCACAGTTGGGGCAAAAAGTTACTTGGGGCACACTTGAGCACTTGGGACATGTCGGGGCAAATACATTTGGGACACAGTCGAGGCAAAAATGACTTGAAGCACATTTTAGGGAAAGTAGACACACTTGGGATACCATTACCTGGCACGCCAGTCCCTGTGCTCTTTTCAAGCTTCCTGAACGTGGGAGGAGCGAGCAATAGACTAGCAAGCTAGGTAAGGGACACCATTGGAGCACAGCTGGGACAAAAAGTTACTTGGGGCACAATCGGGGGAAAAACAGTTGAAGCACAGTTGAGGCAAAAATTATCAGAAGCACAGTTTAGGGAAAAATTCTTGAGGTAAGTTGTGGTACAAGACGATAAAATTCGATAAATTTTGTTAGTAATGGCAATTGATATTGCGTGATTAATACTTACTCATAATTAACTTCTTGCAGCTACTTTAAGAAATATTCCACGTATACATTGTTTACACTTACTATTACACCAGAAGATTGTTTACCTTTACCAATTTGCTTCTTCAGGGCTCAACTTATGATAACTTATTTTGATGTTTCATGTATCATAACATGTGTATAACAGCTCTCAATTTATCAACCCTGAATAGTGCAGGAGTAATTCGACCAGTCCTAATCATAGCCTTAAGTTTTTCCCTAAGTTTTATGAAACTTTGTGTCGTCTTCAAAATATTATTTGAATTAAGTATGATCTGACTTTTAACCCAGATAATAACAATCCTCCGTGTACTAACGTGCAGTATTTACCATGTTTGTAGTATTTGCCATGTTTATCTACAATTAAAATACACTACACAAGCCTAGAAGTGACTAGTTGTGTGTACACGTTTTACAAACTACACACACCGGACACCACCTCGCCTGGGTAACATGTATCATATATCATTGGATTAGGAGAACACAGGTTACTACACAGTGGCCCTGTGTGGCTCCTTCTCTCCATTATGTAATGTTGTGATATCACGGGTTATGTAATTTGTTTCAGAGACTACTTGGACTTGTGGTCACCCGGTGAACTTTAGTAACAGTTTGAGTGGTAAAGTTACAATCGGACAAGTTTAATGTGCACATTTCTAGACTCAGTTCATGAGTAAGGTCAAGTATCATGGCTAACACTTGTCTGTTCAACTGTATTTTGAGCAGGATACTTTTGACTTTTGGGCAATTCCTGAGTGAACAGTGAACATGACGTAATGGTGATGTTATTGTTATATCCCAAAACTTCCTGTTATTTTACAAACACATACCAATATTGCAAGTATTTAAAACATTAAACGTTTCCGTTCAAGTCATGAACACCCATTCTTTTATCACGCTTACGCAACAATTAACAATCATTCTAACACAAACACCTGTGCCTACATTCTCGTTTAACATATTTCGTGTACACTATACACCCACATCATTCGTTTGCTGCTTATCACTGATATCTAATAATACATACTGCAGGCCTTGGTGCACTCTGGTGCTTGAATAATTATAACAATTCCCAGAATCACAGAAACAACATTACACGTACTGCACACAGTCAATTACATTACACATACTGCACACAGTCAATTACATTACACAGTCAATTACATTACACATACTGAAGACGCACTCTAAACTAACCTGCAACATCGCTTGTGTAAGAGTGCTTTACAGTAGATACACTTGAAACCTTGTCTACCGATACCCCAGATTAGATCCTGACATATCGGGCATTGTACCTTGAAACTGGGTAGTATGCAATTGATATTCGTATATAATACTTAGCTCATAATTAACTTTGCAAGCACTTTTAGAAATATTCCAGTTAAAACATTTTCACCACTTACTATAACACCGAAATTGTTACTTTACAATTTGATTTTCAGGGCCTCAAACTTATGTAACTTATTTGATGTTTATGCTTCCAAACATGTTAACAGCTCTACATTATCAACCTGAATAGTAGCAGTTGATATTCACCAGTCCTAATCAAGCCTAAAGTTTTCCTAATTTTATGAAAATTTGTGTGTACGTCAAATTTATTGAATAGTATGATCTGACTTTAACCAGATAATGAACAATCCCGTGTACTAACGGCTATTTACATGTTCTAGTATATTGCCAGTTTATCTACAATTTAATATTACTACACAAGCTAGAGTGATTAGTGTGCGACGTTTTAACAACTCACACCCGGTACCTCACTCGCCATGGTCACATGAATACTAAATCTTGGTTAGGAGAACACAGGTGTACACTACAGGGCCTGGTGACCTCCTCTTGTCATGTGTGAACTCACGGTTAGTATTGTTCAGAGATGACTTGGACTTGTGGTCACGGTGCACTAGTAAAGTTTGACGTGTATTACAATCGGACAAGTTTAATGTGCAATTCTAGACTAGTTATTAGTAGGTCAAGTATCATGGTAACATTGTCTTTTCAACTGTATTGTGCTCTGAGCAGATACTTTTGATTTTGGGCATTCCGATTGCAACACTGATCTGTAATGTAATGTGCATTTCATTGTTATATCCCAAATACTTCCTGTTATTTTTACAACAATACCAAATATGCCAGTATTTAAAATCCATAACGTTTCTAACAAGTCATAAACAAATACCAGTTTTTTTCAGTTAGCGCAGCATTACTAGATCATTTAAAAAAAAACCTGGCTACATTACTCAGTTTAACCATTTTCGTGTACATTACCACTATTGTTGAGCTTATTCACTGAATCTAATAATACATTGCGAAATACAAATGTTAATTTCACATTGTTGTGCAGCGTTAAAGAAAATAATACAGTACAGTTAGAATGATGCTATTGAACACCAGTTCCACACGAGGGAAACATTACGTCGCGTCGTAGAAATGAAATGTAATATTATATTAATATGTAATATTGTATATAATCTATTACTTAGATAATACACAAATTATGTATAATACCGGTTTCAATGTTACTCCACCCGACTGTATTAAACATTGCAAATTATTGCAAATAGATTAAAAAAAGTTACCTAAATCTTCTGGGAGTAAAGGAATGTCCCATGACACGATAGTTCTTTTTCCATCTCCTTGCACCTTTTCGCTCATAGAATTTCTGAGAAATTGAAACATTAGACACATAATGTGTTTAATGTTATCAGATTCAAAATGCGAATTAAGACAACCTAGCCTGGCATAAGATTATTTTTAATACAGTTCGCCTAGAATTTTAGCACAATCTGTAGAATCTTCTATCTTCCACATCTATCAAATATCGGCTGTTTTCCGGTTTTAGTTTCATATTAGAATGTGTCTACAAAAGCCTAAAGAAGCCACCAAATTACTCAAATATTGAATCAATTCACGTTAGTATCTGTATTTTATTTTTAAATTCAATGAAACAAGAACTTTTCAATGTAACAAGAAATTTAATTGTTAGCACATTTTATAGAATACAAGGATGTAAAACAATTTATAAATTAATAGAATGCTCATTTGGTGTATGACTTTCTGTCCTTGACTGTTAGTTTGATTTTGAAGGGACAGGTAACTAACGGGGCAAGGAATGTGCGTGCCTGAAAGCTTCTGCACACACCGAAACGCTAGTTGAGTTGAATTTTTTAGAGACAGGGCTTATATATGAGGATCAGAAGAAAAATTTGGCAGACATTAGGGGTTCTGTTTGTTACTATGGGTAACAGTCTTGTTGTGACAGAAAGTCTACACTATATATTATATGCTTAAGTTTAAATTGTGTAGTTTGAGGATATAAAATGCAACTTTAAGATGGATATTGGAGAGCTGGTGAAAAATTATGGTCTTTGTATTAATGGTTATAATAAGCTATAAATATCCTAAACTATATAGTGCAAATTAAAAATTTCTTTATACTGCATTATCAAATTTAATCTTTAAAATTAAAAAATATACATTCATTTTATTAAAGACTTTCTCACACATACTTTACTCACAGGACAAGACTTGGAAAACAATAGATTAGCGGAATTTCTCGTTGACATGTGTGTGACCAGCAAGTAGTGAAGACAATATTGTTGCAATCAAAATCTTTGATAGTAGTACTACGCACTTACCGTACTTTCGCCTGCACAAAAGTCTCCTGGATCAGGAATTCCCGGAAAGACGTGAATTTGTAGTTCTTTTTCTTGTGATAGGACAAACAACCTAAAATTGAAAGAAACTTTCAAATTTCTGGAGCGAGTGGAATATAATGCATCAATCATCACTACAGTATTCATGTTTAAGCCTGCACAGTGTACAGATGAAAATCATTCAATTATTGGGCTCACCTTATCGCTTCTTCAAGTTCCTGCTTTGAAGCAATGGTGCAAGGGTCCCCTTCCTCGTCTATCCATTTTACGGTGTACTCTTCTGTTATTGCTGCAAGTTAGTACTGGTCTTATTAAGCCGAAAATTAAGATAAATGGTGTTCATGAAAAAATTAAAACGAAGTATCTCGATATAAATAAATACATGATCAAACTGTGCATGCTGTTGAGTGTTGAATTTTCAAATAAATTACTTAGCAAAAAAATAGTTTATAAAATTTCAAAATGATACTTACAGCGGTCAAGTTGAAGAAGGTTTATCAATTGTTGTAAGAAGAGATCATAACTGATATGAGGCTCTATGTCTAATCGCTTCTGATCCCTGGAAAATGTTTGAATTAGTAGTTACAGGAGTGTACCTTCAAACCTTTATTAATGTGATTGAATTGATTAGTATCAAAACCAACATAGCATGTACATTGTATAAATTAAGCTTGACACACTACTATTCTCTGATCTAGAAACCATAATTATCACTTGAGGCCTTAAGATTGACTGTTGAGTTCCATTGGTCAAGGCTAAAAATACCCTATTGTCTAGCTAAGGCATGATCGTCATCTGATCTCGGCAATAAAACTATCTATTTTTATCTGCAACCTTCAAAAAGTAGCTGACTACAACCGGCTACAGACCAATTTATCACATTGAGCAAGACATAATAAATTTATACTATACTTACTTGTAAGGATTTATGTATCCAGCTTTGATGGGCACCTTCCGGACCGGCACACAGTTGTTTTTCAAACTATCCACACTCATGTCATGAACTCATGCTCCACTCATTGCTACCAAATGTTTGTCCAAAAGTATTTACATTTTGACATATCCTGAATTATGGGAATTGTATCATTATTATAGAAGTGTGTAAAACAGCTTTAAAAATAAATTGAAAAGTTCAAAGTTTAATGAAAATGTTAGCCAGTATATTTATTTGAGATGTTCATCGTTATTAACTTGTACTACATTTAAGGATTTCTCAAGCTGATTTGGAGATACGACCTTTCCAAAACACATTTATATTCAGAACTTGCCAGGCTTTGGGTAGATCAATTGACTAGGAAAACAAATTTTTTTTTAGGAAAACAAATTTAAATTTTGGTATTTATAAATAACAATCAAAACATATCATATCATAAAAATAAAGCCGCGCGTTGGTTGACTGCCTCAGTAAGGTGAATAATTTAAGCTTGAAGGTGCCCTGCGCATTTACAGAACCTTATGCGGTGATCACATATTCATGAGGACCTGTGAGCGCCAAATTTAATTTAAAGTTTCTAGAAATCATACATCACTACGAGTTACTCATGCTTTTGGATTATAAGAGTGCGGATTGTCAGGTATTTCATTCATTCATACTTAATCGGTTTAAAGCTGTACATTCAGAACTCACTCTTGTTTAAACTACGAAAGCAGAACGTAGATAATGGACAATATACCGACGACAATACCAAGGACCCGAGTGCCGCATTGACTTTTCCGGATCCGTTTTTACCGAAGGCTTATCCACCAGTTACAAATTTGTTCTTGTGCCCTATAATAATTTGGTATTGAGGTATGACCCTGCACTGTGTGTGATAGTGAAAATGAAAGTGAATGTGAATCTATAATGCGAACGAAATGAGTTATGGCCAAACGATTGTTCAATTTTAAAATAATAAAGTCAAAGGACTCTGTTTTAAAATACAAGCTCATTCTTATCGAAGTTTAATTCTGTCCATTCTAATTCTTCGTACCTGGACTGTATCATGAGTAGCTCACTTTTCAGTGTTACTTTAACTAAGTTCGTTGACTTAGTAAAGCTTATCAAACTGTCAATTTTTCGACAGTCGTTCCACATTTTTGTTGATTGATAAATGAAAGAGGAGGATGGGTTCGGGGTGATGAACTGGTCTGAACGTCTTTGTGATGGTGATCTGTGGAGTAATGATAGGAGTGAGATTGGAGATTCTAATCTGACAATTTTGAACAGTTCTAATAGACATGTGTATTTGTAGAGGTTGTGGACGGTAAGAAGGCCGTTCTTGTTAATCAACGGCTTTGTATGCTCTTTTTCAAAGAATTTCCTTCCTAGGATTTGTTCATCTATACAACGTGTTCTGGCACATGTTCTAAATTTATCTAGATATGCTTCAAGGTCACCAAATAGTATTCTGATACATTTTTTCTGAGTGATGAAGATAGGTTGAAGCATATTGTTACTCGACCCACCCCATACCGATATTCCAAATCTTAGGTGTGACTCAAATAACGTGTGGTACAATTCTTTATGGTGTTTTTTCGGGATAACGTGTCGTATTCTACTGAGTCTTCCGATCTCACACCTAAATTTCGAGTTGAGGGCTCTTATTTGAACATCCCATTTTAGCTTTTCGTCAATAATAACACCTAAAAACTTGGTCTCTTTAACTTGCTTTATAACCGTATTATTCAGAGTTAGTATATATTCTGATTCGTTATCTGCCTTAGATCAACGGAGAGGAAGACTTTAATTAAAAAGTAAAGTAAAGTAAAAATTATGATATAACATCATCACACATGTCTATAAAGTATCAAATATAAATATCTTACCACCAAAATTGATAAATTATTAACTACAACTTTATTAAAAAAATTTCAAATAAATTCAAAAAGCATCCCCAAAAGATAACCCTATTCATACTTCCCAGTGGAATAAAGATTTACAAATCGCTTTTTTGCCACAAAAGGGTGAAAATAAAGATGATCATTATGCTTCTCTTTATTACTAACATAGCTAGGTCTTTCAATTCTCCCTAATACTTCGTTTGAAACATTCCAAAAATGTGAATCATTAGAAATACCCTTAGAAATCATATCTTTCGTAAACCCTTCTAATTTAATCTTAAAACTTAAAAAACAGTCACCGAGTCGAGTTCCTTGCAAATTTTTATTCCTTAATCTAATAAAGATATAATACTGTCGAGAAGCAAGAATAAAATCACATAACATCGAAACTTTATCTTATCTATGACTACTCAAAATCTGTACTGGTCAAAATAACGTGATCTCACATGATTTTGTGATAACGCAGCTAATGTCCTTTTAATTTTCGATCATGAGGGCTACTTGAGAGCGTTTTGCCGGATTTTTGCCGGATTTTTGCCGGATTCTTGAATAACGGAAAATTGTATTGATAAATGTTCTTTAAACTCTTCAAATAGTTAGAGCACTATAATACGGTCAATTTCAGGGAGTATAAAAAAATTTCTTCGTCTGTGAGTGGAGATACAAGGTCAAACACAAGAAAATATCTTCATTTGGCCAGAATTTTTGCCGGATTCTTGAATAACGGAAAATTGTATTGATAAATGTTCTTTAAACTCTTCAAATAGTTAGAGCACTATAATACGGTCAATTTCAGGGAGTATAAAAAAATTTCTTCGTCTGTGAGTGGAGATACAAGGTCAAACACAAGAAAATATCTTCATTTGGCCAGAATTTTTGCCGGATTCTTGAATAACGGAAAATTGTATTGATAAATGTTCTTTAAACTCTTCAAATAGTTAGAGCACTATAATACGGTCAATTTCAGGGAGTATAAAAAAAATTCTTCGTCTGTGAGTGGAGATACAAGGTCAAACACAAGAAAATATCTTCATTTGGCCAGAATTTTTGCCGGATTCTTGAATAACGGAAAATTGTATTGATAAATGTTCTTTAAACTCTTCAAATAGTTAGAGCACTATAATACGGTCAATTTCAGGGAGTATAAAAAAATTTCTTCGTCTGTGAGTGGAGATACAAGGTCAAACACAAGAAAATATCTTCATTTGGCCAGAATTTTTGCCGGATTCTTGAATAACGGAAAATTGTATTGATAAATGTTCTTTAAACTCTTCAAATAGTTAGAGCACTATAATACGGTCAATTTCAGGGAGTATAAAAAAATTTCTTCGTCTGTGAGTGGAGATACAAGGTCAAACACAAGAAAATATCTTCATTTGGCCAGAATTTTTTCCGGATTCTTGAATAACGGAAAATTGTATTGATAAATGTTCTTTAAACTCTTCAAATAGTTAGAGCACTATAATACGGTCAATTTCAGGGAGTATAAAAAAATTTCTTCGTCTGTGAGTGGAGATACAAGGTCAAACACAAGAAAATATCTTCATTTGGCCAGAATTTTTGCCGGATTCTTGAATAACGGAAAATTGTATTGATAAATGTTCTTTAAACTCTTCAAATAATTAGAGCACTATAATACGGTCAATTTCAGGGAGTATAAAAAAATTTCTTCGTCTGTGAGTGGAGATACAAGGTCAAACACAAGAAAATATCTTCATTTGGCCAGAATTTTTGCCGGATTCTTGAATAACGGAAAATTGTATTGATAAATGTTCTTTAAACTCTTCAAATAGTTAGAGCACTATAATACGGTCAATTTCAGGGAGTATAAAAAAATTTCTTCGTCTGTGAGTGGAGATACAAGGTCAAACACAAGAAAATATCTTCATTTGGCCAGAATTTTTGCCGGATTCTTGAATAACGGAAAATTGTATTGATAAATGTTCTTTAAACTCTTCAAATAGTTAGAGCACTATAATACGGTCAATTTCAGGGAGTATAAAAAAAATTCTTCGTCTGTGAGTGGAGATACAAGGTCAAACACAAGAAAATATCTTCATTTGGCCAGAATTTTTGCCGGATTCTTGAATAACGGAAAATTGTATTGATAAATGTTCTTTAAACTCTTCAAATAGTTAGAGCACTATAATACGGTCAATTTCAGGGAGTATAAAAAAATTTCTTCGTCTGTGAGTGGAGATACAAGGTCAAGCACAAGAGAATATCTTTATGCATTTAACAAATTTCCATGTCTGTGATCGGGGATGTGCTGCAAATCACGAAACATTCCCCATTGACTGATGACTCCACGATGGTTTTATAGTTGTATTTATTTCATACTTCCATAGATAGTACAAAATCTAGTCTAATTAATTGAAACACCTTTTTTTGCTGGTACAAACTTTGAACATGATATTAAAAATATAATATATAATATTAAATTATAAAAATTTACATGTAATGTAATACCCCATGAGATCTTCCACATTATCATTCTAGTATTACAGAAGTTAAAGAAAAATCGTACACCCCACTATACTCTCGAAGTCGGAAAAACCGGAACCAACGTAGACCTACAATGATAATTTTCTGTGATCAGTAACTTCACAGATTACTATTTGGATTAAACTAGATTTAAAAGAAGTTAGACGATTACACATTTAACCAATTGGCAAAATAAACGTTTTACAACTTCACATCAACATGAATCCAAGATTCAAAAAACATTGAATTCACTTTGAATAAAGACAAAAAACCGTTCGGACTTACTTACTTCGGTGCAAATTGTGACAGTAAGTTCGAACACTGCGAATCTGTAAGCAGACCGAGTCTTTGTTAAGAGTTTGACAGTGAATTATTTGTCCTGCTAAACGGATTCTGGCAGTGAACTGGTTAAAGGGAGGTCACGTGTCAGAAACGCTGGCCAATTACAGACTATTACGTGGCAGTGCGGAGTGTCACACGACATATGCATGTGCCAGTGTAGATGCAGATGGAGGAGCACGTGACTATAACGTGGTCTCTCATGCACATAGTGCTTCAAGTAAATTAGCTCCACCTCCGTTATGACTGTATTATAGTGCTCTAACTATTTGAAGAGTTTAAAGAACATTTATCAATACAATTTTCCGTTATTCAAGAATCCGGCAAAAATTCTGGCCAAATGAAGATATTTTCTTGTGTTTGACCTTGTATCTCCACTCACAGACGAAGAAATTTTTTTATACTCCCTGAAATTGACCGTATTATAGTG